CCGATAAACTGGGTTCGTTGCCAACCTGGTCTCCCAGAACAATCGCGTTGACGAGTGATTGCCGATGGCGCTGATCGATAGAACTACACGAGAGATAGGCGAAACGAAGGACCCGCATGGTGTGGTGGTGAATGCGCAGGCCCCCGGAAAGGGTAATAGGCGCGTTTGATCCTGCCCAGAATTTTGAAGATATCTCAGCATCATTGTGATTGTTTCACACACGTAATACTCTTCCATGAAAAATTATAATAGGCAGCAAACAAAAAGTTAACAGTCTTACAATGATGCTAAGATATTTGCAAAACTGTGGACCGCAGGTGTCTGCGGTGGGGAACGAACGCGCTATTCCCATGACCGACTTTCTGTTAACCTCGGCATTAATTGATAATTCAATGTTTTTCATCAATAAGCAGACACGAGGTTGTCTGCTTATTGATGAAAAACATTGAACGCGCTATTGTTCTTTCCGGGAAATAACGCTTTCACCACCACGCCATGCGGGTCCTTCGGTTCGCCTGTCTCTCAGGTAGTTCTATCTGTTCTATTTGGACTCCCCAAATCAATTTCGTTAACGGGTGATTGCTGACGGCACGGATCGATGGAACAAGTTGAACGAAAAGCGAAACCAAGGACCCGCATGGTGTAGTGATGGTGTAGTGGTGAGTGCGTTACTCCCCGGAAAGGAAAATAGCGCGTTTGTTCTCCACCGCAGACACCTGTGGTCCGGAGTTTTGCAAATATCTCAGCATCATTCAAAGTTATATTTCGCAACATAACCTGCCGTTAAAAAGAGTAGGCAGTAAATGATAAGTTAAAATTGTGATTAACAGTCTTATTTTAGCATTTGCTTATATTGTTGAGCTATACGAAGTTGATATGAGATGTCTATTCGACCAACGTTTCGGCGTCTTCGTCTTGATCAGAACCTACGATCCTTGTCGATGGTCCACAGTTGTTCCTCTTCTCGATGTGGCGTCTTCGTCTCGCATCGAAACGGATCTTCCCCAACTGAGCATCTCGAATGAGCCGAACACGCCGAACGACGCTCTTTTATGCAGGGAATTTTAATAGTAATAATAACAATAATAATAATTTAATTAATAATTTTAATAAATTTAATTTTTGATAATTTTAATAACTTTAATTTTTAATAATTATTACAATAATAAGCTCAAAAATGTAAACAAATGTTGGTTATTATAACACCGAGGTTAAACGACGGTCGGTTTCAGAATTAGTCTTTTATACATTACCATTACATTACATTACATACCTCTACTTTATACTTCGATGTGATTTCTGTGCGGTTGGTCTCTACGTGACATACTTAGTGGAAACCTCATAGAAAGCGGCTCTGAGGAAGGCGAAATCCGCCGAAACGTCAGCTTAATCGTGAACAAAGAATAGTAACACCTCGCGTTTGCTCAACAAAAATACGAAGAAAATAAGTCTTTTATTATTTTGTAGTGGCCAGTAATATGGGCTCTAAGCATCTTTTATGAGAGGCTTCATCTCTGTGTTTCATATTTCATTCTTCTTTAAGTTACTTCTCCTGCAAAGTGATATCGATCGATTTTCTCGTAGGTTTCTTCTTTTAGTTAAAAAATTAGCCTTCACCTAAATCGTGTATTGGTCCACATGATGCTTTTGTTCTGATTTGATCAATCAATTTGTTCAAATTTGCCCAAATGTTTTTTGTTTTTCTTCCAAATCTATTTTGGATCGACTGTTCCTCGCTTTCTATCTCATCACTTCTGAGAAAATTCTCTTTTGAATTAGGAAAAGAAACTGTCCCGGTTTGGATTTTCTCCAGAAAATAAATTGTAATTGGATTGGTGTCGGCTGCTTTTGTTCGCCATATCTCATTACTAATCAAAAAGATTGCAAGTAGCACAGTGGTCATAGATGTCCTGCAATACACTTATGGACCTCGGTTCGATCGAGCACACGGGATTAACCAAGATTCGATGAATCCGGTGCGGGTAAATTAGTACTGTATCATTCTAGGAGGATAAAAGCACGAACATTACACATTGCTATGCTTATACTGAGCCAAGTAAACATTTAATCTGCTCAACGGTGCTACCTAATAGAGATGAATTCTTAGTGCATCTTTAAGGAATTGACGACGACGAACACCGGGTGCTTCATCCTTGTCATTTCTAGCTCATTCTTTTACTGATAAATAATTGACTAAAGAATTCTCTGAAAATGCTCCATATCATATCATATTCTTTCATTCCGTATTTCTGGTGTCTTCAGTAAACTCACCGCTTTTAGCATATAGCTCGTCCGTGCAACCAAGTGCACCATCTTTGTCAGTGCATCCGCTACGATGCTGGTTTTGTCATAGCGGTCGAACGATCGAAAATATTTTCGATAACAAGAGTACTTGGTAACCTATGAACTTGACAGACGTCTAAAGGAGACGCCATCTGTACATATATATATATATATATATTTATTTATATATTTATATATATACGTATATATATACATATATATGTATATACATACATATACATATGCATATATATACATATACATATATGTATATATATATATATATGCTTCTAAGATGTTATCGAATTTTCACGTTTATTTGAAATCCTACTTTTCAAGGAACTCAGAACAAGAAACATCTTTTCAACTCTTTCAAGACCAAACGCATTGATTTCTCTTTCTGGCCCGTTTCACAGCATGGAACTTTTTGTAATCAATCGATAACTTGTCGAACGCCAGAGTTTATATTGGAGCTAAGCCATCTGTAAGTATGCTCGATGCGATACCCTTAGAAAAAAGCTCTTTTCGGACGGTGGCATGGAATCGGTGGGCATAAAAGAAGCTTGAAAGAGGCACAAGAATACACTCCAAATATCGTGCAAAATCACGAAAACATAGTTAAATAATGGACGGTTTTTTCTCGTCACACACAAGAAGAGTACCAGAACATGATGCCACAACATAAGCGCATGTCGTAGGCGTAGAAGTTAGAGAGACACGAAAAACATGTGAGGGAGTCGTATAATGGAACGATAATCTCAAGGACGCGTGAAGCGCAGTGGTTATAGGCGCCCTGCAATACACATCGGATAGGTCCCGCGCCCCTGGCCCAGCAAGCCTTCCATCCACCCGGGTTCAGCAAATTGGTGCCAGCTTCTCCGGAAGGATAGCAACAATAACTCAATACATCGGTAGGCCACCGTGAGTTCCTGTACAGGCTAGATAAGCGTTCAATCACCTCCAAACGATCCCTAATGAACTCGAATACATGGCGCATCCCTCAGACATTGATTCAAGCCGAGAGCTTTATCCTTTATTTTTTTTTTGTCCTTAAGAAACGGGCACACTATGACTCTTGCAAAGGCTCATGGACTATACATCCTTTTCCCAACATTTCGCTTTCGATTGAGCTCCATTAACATGCGGCCCGATGGGTCTGAGGCCGCGGTCATAAAAGAGTTTAAAAAAAAGTCCAATGCGGCTGTAGTTACAAGTACCAACGATGCATTCGGGACACCATAATGTCCTGCTGGAAGGAATCTCGTCTATTCAATCGCTTCGCTGCTTGAAATATGAGCTTTGATGCAGAAATGTGGGAAAAAGTGATTTGTGGTCTACCGATGCACATAACGTTATCGTGCTATAAAGCTTTTTTCTCGTCTCCAGTGATCTACAGCTTCTTAGGGTTTTTTCAAATTCTTTAAGGAAAAAGTTATTTTGAACCGTATACGTGTCATATTTGACCCATATAGTCGTAAATCTGTTAACAGCTGTTTATTTTGGAAATTATCTATTCGGTGATTAGTATGTCACACGTACAACTTACAGCTGACTATTATACAATGCATTCTAATCGTGACGATTGAAATCAGCCTACAAGGGACGGAGGGGTTTTTGTTGTTTTTCTGTCACTTTTACTTGTTTTATGGCGTTTTTTTGTTCTCATCCGATCACTCCTTCTCGTGGTGGCTATTTTGGGTGTGTACAACGGCGCTTCAGGTGAAAGGATTCTGTGGAGGTCGGTGGTGCCGTCAATGCGAAACTCAATTCATGCTACATGGCATCCTATAAGTAGAAGACGAGTTTGTTTGTGAAACAGAGCGAAACTCAATCAAATATTTTGGCAACCTGAACGGGCGTTGATGAGGTTTGCGCACATTGGTTGGGCATATTAGACCCTTCCACTATCCGACGTAAACTAAGCAACATTATTTCCAATGCGGAAAAGTCCGATGGCGGGCAAAAACCGATAAAGAGCTGCTTTTCCGAAATTCTTTCCGTCATTCGATTACTTACTTAGCTCAGTTGAGCTAAAAATAGCTATGGAAGTGAGTTGCTGCAATGACAATAGCAACCCTCTATGAAATAGAGGAAGAAGGTGGAAAAAGTGGTAGAAAATGACGAAAGAAACCAGAGAACGATGTGATTTTTAAATGTGAACGAAAAGGTCTCGAAATAGCATTTCAACGTTTAGGACATCTTCCCGAAAGCCGCTGTTGGAACGAACGCCAAGCGTTATCACCATTGAGAGCACAGGATTTTTTTTCTAGTTCTTATCACTTAGAAGAAGCTAATTCGGCTACTATTCTATAAGTACCTGTAGCACCTGTAGTACCTGTAGTGCCTGAAGAAGTCGTTTATTAACAATTCTTTCTATGGTTTCATTTTCTTCATAAGACAAATGTAGGCTGTCAAAAATTGCAACGCCATTCTTCTTGAAGAAGAAGAAAGTAGGAAAAACGACTTCGAGGTCAACAAATAAAGTGCTTATATTTTATTCCATTTAAGTTTTTATTACTGCTAATTCAATAAATCGCTTATCAAAGCGGCATCATTAGTAACAAATTTCCAAAACCAATTAAAGGACCTCCAGTCCAAATTTATCATTTTAAGACATTTGCTTGTGTTAGTGTGGGCTCCATGGTACTGGCAGTTCTCCATATTGGCATACTAATTCTGATCATAAGAGTTAAAATAAGTTTTTAGAGTTATTTCAGGAACTGATCGCCAAAAGATCGATGTGCACGCACATGTCCTACCGCGGTACATTCCTGATTTCGCGCAGGTCAGTTTATCGGAGCCTCTATGGTGGTAACCATCCATGTCGTTGTCGACTATACTCGGTAGTACTGACGACATTGTACTGAATTTACCACCATCTTGTCGAGATTGTAGATTTGCGAGTGGACAATGGCATGTGCCTAACGGAAACGCTATTTCAGAAATTCGGGTATGCTGGGTTCGTTACGCTCGATCATCGTGCTGATGGCACCACACACATGATGAAGGACGGCAAACTTTTCAGGTTGCAATTCACGCTGAACCAGCACTAGCTCTTTTTAAAAATTATTTAACATTTTCTAAAACATATACTGTGAGGTAACTCGCCACGCCTATTTGAATGTTAGATTAAGTACTGCGTTACCTACTTTATTATATTTCACCTATACTATTGTTTATCCTCCCAATGGTTTACCGCCTCATCGTGGCTGGGAGGTGATCCTGGGCGCCAGACTGCGATGTACAGCGGGGGATTTGTTTCCCTGGTAGGTTCTCCCAAGCTGAGAATGAGTCCGGATTTTCCATCAGGAAGCCTAGCTGGTAGTAAAACCAATACCAGGATCAACCACCGTCCTGGTATCAAATTAGACTCATGGCGGCAAATCTCCCTCTGATCCACAACGGCTGCGACTGCCTGTGGTGGTGAAGATCTCGGGCGGCAGACTTTGGCCAGGCTGGCCTCGGGATTCCAGGGAGCCACAGTGGCTTAGCCAACAAATCTTCAAAAAATGGTGATTATGCTGGAGCCCGCACAACCAGTGAGGACGGGCCGTTCAAGTATCAAGTATCAAGTAAGTACTATTGTTTATTGTAAGTACCTAACACTAACTACCCACTTGACGGTTATTTTGTATTAATTCGACAAATTAGAACTATGTCCTCTAACAATCACTATGGTGCTGAGATATTTGCAAAGACGTGGACCTCGGGCCAGATTCGAACTCTGCTGTGAAAAATAATAATAATCAATAAATAAAAAGTTAACACTATGTCCTGCACCGTTCGTCGATAGGTCATGAGTTTCTTCCTGTCTTTGGTACATTATCGGGACGTATTGCCGCAGTCCATATTAGTGTATCCTCAGCACGTAGACGATTGCGAACGTTTTGCAATAAGTGCGGATAGCTTTTCGATAATTAGAGAACTTTAGGCTTTAAAGGCTTTAAGAACTTTTTCACTGATGAAGTCTTATTTGAACTTAATAAAACATTAAAGAACTAACTTTTTTTCTTTCTTTGAAGAATCTGCATAATTGCGTCAACTTTTAGTGTCATCGTGGGAATACCATCGTGTTCTTGTAGATGAAATCCCATTTGTTATCATTTCGCTGTTAGACACTGAAGGCACTCGACGACGACAAAAAGCGTGCCAAACATATTCTTAGGTTCCAAAAGCCTTGAATTTCATCGCGATGAAAAAGTTGATTTTGTATGATTTGGTTCTGAAGAATATGATCGTTCTAACGGCTTTTATTCCGAACAATAAAGTTATTGTGGCCTGCGATTGGTGTGTTTCTAACGTCGACATGGTAAATTGTTTTTGGTGACTTTTGATCCGATATAGATCGTATTATAGTCATTCTAATGAGTGGACTAATAGAAGAAGTTGTCGATGTTATCCCACTTGAATACGGGAAACTTTATGAAGAGACATCAAGAGATATTATTCGGGCCATTGACGATTTCTGGAATTAAAGTGGAGAAAGTGATAAATAAGCAGAATTCAATGGCCACACTTTCATTGCAGAGTAGTGGAGCCGAACTGCTTCGACATTCAGGCTCGACTGAAAGACTTAGACTCAGCCAGGGTAGACGTACAGTGTTTGAGTACCGTCCCTGTCATGTTCAGCTATTGGGTGAGCCGTTTTTCTTCTTCGTTGAATCAATAAGATTATTAGTGTGCCTTTGAATATAAATGCTTTTCCATCGTAAGAAACAGAAAGAAGAAAGCTGTCGATATTGATCAATCCGAGGGATACGCTGCGGATTCAACTTCATTAAGCATAGTTGGAGGTGATTGAATGCGTGTCTGGCTTTTACAATGACTTTCGGTGGTTTACCGATGTATCGAGCCAGTACGGCTATCTAGTGCTGTTTGGTACCAATTTGCCGACACCGGAAGGATGGAAGGCTCGGTGAGCCTGAGATGCGAGGATAAAATTCTACGCGTATTGCAGGGCGCCTCCAACCACTGCGCTGCAAGTGCCCAATGTTTACTGTGTCGTGCCTAATAAATTTAAGCTATATTTGTGATGTTAATTGAAGAGGAAATGGTTATAGACGATGAAGCAACAGAAGTTGGGAAAAATTTCTGAAAAAAATCGTATGAAGGGAAGGATCCAGTAGCTGTCAAACAATAACCGCTTTTTATTTCGTCAGCGATAAATTCAAGGCACTTTCGAGAGCTATGTCAATCAAATTTGAATGTTTCAATATGTGCGGTTTTTCTTCAGTGTCAAAGATTTGTAGCCCTTTCTGAAAAATTTTACATTAATATGTACCAAAGAATGTTTGTCCTCCCAGCGGTTTACTGCCTCATCGTGGCTTGGATGTGTTCATGGATGTCGGGCTGCGATCTACAGCGTGGATTCGTTCCCACGGCAAGGTCTCCCAAGCTGAGAAGGAGTCCGGCTTTTCCATCAGAAAGCCTAGCTAAGAGTAAACCAGTATCAGGATTCACCACCATCCTGGTATCAAACTAGTCACATGGTGGCAAATCTCTCTTTGATCCACAAGGGCTACGACTGTTTGCAGTGGTGACGACCTGGAACAGACTATGGCCTGCCTGACCTCAGCACTCCGGGGAATCATAATGGCTAAAGCAGCAAATCTCCGGAGAATGGAGATTGTGCTACGGTCCGCACAACTAGTGAGGATGGGCCGTCCAAATATCCAAGTAAGTAAAGCATATTTGTCTAGTCATCACGAATAATTGTCTACTTTTTCTGGATTTCACATTCATTAGTTCGAATTTTCCACATATCGTTTCATTTATAGTAGCTCTTTTTTCGGTTTTGGTACTCCTATATACATATAATGAGAGAATGGCCAATTATTTTATTCTATTTTTACATCTTTTGTGATGGTAAGGGGCGCTATGCAGCATACACCTGGAATCGATCCTTACACCGTAGGTCCACCAAGCCTTCCATCCCTCAGGAGTCGACAAATTGGTATCACACTTGGATTCAAGTTATTATAAAGGCCAGATGTGCATTTAATCACTTCTAAACGATGCTTAGTGAAGTAGTATGCATCCCTAAGAGACTGATCAACGCCAAGAGCGTTATCCTTTATTTTATCTACTTGTAAGTATTATTAGTTTACATTTGTAGAATTACTCAGCTCTTCTACATTTTGCTGAGCTGGTTTCCAGGCTAAACCGGAGCACACCGAAGAAATCAGTCGTTTTGTGAATGATGACCTACTAGCACAATGCCAACACGCTCCAGACAGGCTCATACCGCTTGCCACGCTGCCAATGAACGACATTCCCAGAGCTGTTCAGGTCGGTAGCTATGGAAATTGAGTGCGAGCCGTAATGACACGTTAGGACGAAGGATTTTATCACATTATTAAGGTGTGATTTTCTCGTAACGATTATTTATAGAGACCGGAACTGATTTTTCCCACAAAAAAAGCATTAACTTTATTCAAATATGTTTCGACGCCAGGTGAAATACCACGGCTATATAAATTGCTAGTAAAATTAAATTAAATTAAAATTAAAAAATTAAAATTAAATAAAATTAGTATAAAATTGCTGATTTCCCGGTATCCGAAAGAAATTGTCCCAACTTGATGGTTCGTGAAGAAATGAATTATTTACGAGGATTTTATACTTGGCTTAAAAAACTTCGGCGTATTCCTTTATTCCTGATTTTGTTTTAAATTGGTTCAGCAATTTGTCGTGAAGATCGTAGGTGATTTGGAGTTTCTCGAAAACACGAATTTCATCGAGTGTTCGTAATTTTATTTGCTTGGAATTTTCCAATCAATTTAACAGTGGCTAAGATGTTGTCGTCGTCGTCACCGATCCATATTGTCGTATCGGAAAGTGTTTTTCCTATCATGTTTTTTCCACTAAAAACTGTTAAATAATCTGTTACAATCATCGCAATTTTGGCATCCTCACTTACCTCCACGTTTCGTCAACGAACCCTTCATGGATTAAAAGGTGATTCCCAATCTGATAGAACCACCAAATTTCTGGCATCTGACGTCACTTCCCTCCTTCTTTCGCAAACGAACGCTCAATGGATTAAAAGCTGATGTGCGATCAACTAGAATCGTCACAGTTTTGGCATCTGACTCCACTTCGTTCCACTTTCGGCAACGAACGTTTCATGTTAGTTCTTGGAAGGAATCAGAAACCTGGTGCTCAATTCTGTTGGCGCTCCTGGCCTTCTAAAGCGTATGCAAATAGATTTGCTCGGGATTAAGCCTGACTGCTTGTAGTTTCAAAAGAGTAAATATTTTGCTAAAGCTTTTTAGGAAACGAAGATACTGAAGAATTTCGTCAATGTGGGGTCAAATTTTTATCTATTAACAACATTTATATAAATCTCTGATATAAATATAACTGTCATTCTTCATTATTGCAAAGGAATTCATTTTCCTACAAAATAAGTGAATAATAGAATCGTTTCAAAGCAGACATTGAGCAGTAGGGTGAACTAATGTATGAGAAAAAACACTGAAAAGAGAAACAAATGAGGTAGCAAAACAGGAGACGAGCAAATTACTGTACAAAATAATAGGCGATGAGATAGCATAAAGTATTGACCAAGTTACTGTAATTCTGGCAATCTGTTGCAATATTAGAAGTACTCGAGTATCACGCTCAGTTATGGCAGTTATAGGAGGAGTGGGCTTGAATTTGTCACCTGATCACAGCACCCGTGTAGACTTCTGTTTCCTGACTGAGTGTTTTGAAATAGTGGAGTACGTAGCAGAGATAGAATTCCAGACAGTTTAATTACGTTTTTTCACTTGTTCGAATGGTGGATTTCGCACACCATTCACTTCATCCACCGCATCCATGACGTGTTCTCCGAGTTGACTGGTAGTTTGTTGACGATTCCTAGGAGACGAATCACGCCTCTGTGGACATTTCTTCCTGACGAGGAGGAGCTGTTGTTTGACGTGAAACCTCCGCCATGTTTTTATGAAATGACGTGCAGCATTTCAACTTTCTTCTCATCGTCAATCAATCTATTAGTCTATTAGATTATTCGCCGGATTTCAGTAGTTTCTTAGAAGTTCAACTCGAGCTGCTAGAATGCACTGCTTTGAAACCAGTTACTAGGAGTTTTGTATTAAAGACTACCTAGCTGTTCGATCTCAAGTAATGAGACCAATAGGCAATGTTGAACAAAGAGAAGAGCGACGGGAAAAGTATCGCCGATAATGTGTCAATCCGTTTCGCTAGCCTCTCTCGTCGATGTCTCCTGAAAAGAAAGAATCGTACTGACGATGTTACAGTATCGCAAAAAGCGATGATGACTTTTATTTGTTAACAAAAATCAGTTTTTTAGTTGATTCTAGATCGCCTGCAATTCACGTTCTTCAAATTCCATCCAACTCTTACAGTACACAATAACATTTCTTCTGCTGAGCTTTATCATAACATTTTGACCAGTACTATCAAAATTTCTGTAACTACCACTTTTACTAATATTGTTTTATAATCCAGAGTATTATTTCTAAGAGCGTCTGTGCTGCAGCAATTAAAGGTGCACTGCAATACACAAAATACAAAGTACCGTTCTTGGGTCCAATCCGCTGCCCCAAACTTGCCAAGTCCCTTTCCATCTAAGGCATCCTCTAGGAATAGACCAACACCGGAAATTTCATTTTCTAACCTCGTTACCAATAATGGCAGTATTTTACTAATGAGGTATAAAATGCCATTTCTTCATACCCAGGTGAAATTTTGCCGCGTTTTCTTCATAACTGGTATATTAATATACTACCGCTGTTCCATACTCGGCTAAAGCTTTTTCATCTACCCTAGTTATAAGAGCACATGTAGCACAATGGTCGGAGGCGCGTTGCAATACATATGGGATCGATTAACGCGCACCTGGCCCACCAAGTCCACCACACTTCTGGGGTCGGCAAATTGGTGTCAGACTTGTCTCAGAAGATAGTAGCACTGGCTCGATACATTAATAGGCCACCGCGAGTCATTATAAAGACCAGATATGGATTCAATCGCCTCCAACGGTTCTTCATGAAGTCGAATGCATGGCGAATCCCTCAGGGATAAAGGCCCACAACTTTGTCCTTTTTTACTAACGATAGTTATAAAAAAGTTTCTTTCTTTTTGTCTCTAGATTTCTGCAGCCTCTATCACTCAAATCTTTCTATATTTTCACTCAATGGTAAATTTCAGTACGGTTTAAAATCAACAATATTGGCTGTAATGCATCAACGTCAGTATAGCGAATTAGCAACAAGCTTTGTTTAAGATTTTCTGCTGGTTTGTTTGGAGTTCACACAATTTTGTAGACTCACTCTGAGATATAAAATGATGTTTGATGTTTGGGTGGTGAAGTATCTTCGAATTCGTTTGGATATGAGGCTTGAGGGACGCATGAGCATCTGAAACCGAGTCTTTTCTTTTCTCAACAAAGCATTCGCTTCAATTCATGCATAAGTCTGCTTGTTAATGCTCTCACCTGGCTCCAAGCGATCGCATTGGGTTGACGACGTTTCCGTTTAATCCGAATCCCGGTGGAATGTAGCCGTAATCGTTGTCTCGAAGTGAGATTAACGCCGATTCTTCTTCATTGGTCGGATTTCTTCTAAATATTCTGTTGCGTTATCGTTGTCCTCAACTCATCACACATGTGGCGTCGCTTTTCCATTCCTCCTTATCCATGCACGCATTAGAGATGTGTACGAACGCGATATTTTATGTTCCTCAGGGAATTCTACGCTTTAACGACCACTACGCGTGTGTAGAGCTGCATAACATTACTCTGTGGATGGGTGGTGGGCAGCATTTTTCATCCGTTATTTCTATAGCAGGTTAGTATAGGTGCTATGGTTATGAAGAAAATGTCTGTATGAATATGTGTCCCTAGGGATGCCAGGTGGGCAATTTATATGTGTCGGTTGGCGAAGATCACCGAGAGTTCGCAATCATGGCAACCAGCAAACATATTTGTAATCACAATCTTAACCCTTTTATTTACTGCCTTTTTCTTTTTAATGGCAGGGTATGTTGCGAAATATAACTCGTGTATAATGCTGAGATATTTGCAAAACTCCGGACCGCAGGTGTATGCGGTGGGGAACGAACGCGCGCTATTGTCCTTACCGGGGAGTAGCGCACTTCACCACCACACCATCCGAGTTCTTCAAGAAAAAGATATTAAATAAAAGGGTTAAGATTGTGATTATAACTAAGCCTCAGCTTAACTGGGTTCAATGCCGATTTGGGCTCCCCAGATCAATCCCGTCGACGGGTGATTGCTGATGGCAAATAGATCAATAGAACTAGCTGAGAGACAGGCAAAACGAAGGACCCGGATGGTGTGGTGGTGAAGTGCGCTACTCCTCGGAAAGGACAATAGCGCGCGTTCGTTCCCCACCGCATACATCTGCGGTCCGGAGTTTTGCAAATATCTCAGCATTATATATGAAACATATTTGTGTTCTTTTTCTTCTGGACTACCGTATCCCACGCAACAGGATACATTTATGACTGATAGTTGTTAATAAATAATCATCCATTTTTTACGAAGTTTTTTATAGAGAAGTTTTTATCCAAATGGCTTTATTGACGAAGTAACAAGGCTTTTTTTCCACTGTGTTGTGCAACTGCTTTTGACAACAGTTCTTTCCTTGTTGGATATTGATTGGAACGGAGAATTTGACTCAGGTGACTGCATATTATACGATAACGATCGATTTCACAGTTATAAACTATAGAAAAGCATCACAAAGCTGCGAGATCTTTCTGAAATTCTGTGCTATATTTGTGTTTTACTGGGAAACATCGTAAATAGTTTTCGGAAACTGAACGAACCGGTGTAATGTGCTGGTGACGCTGTGCATTTGGAAGCTAGGAGTTGGTGGAGCGACCGGCATCGTCTTATTCGAGGTCAGAGGTGGTATCGGGAGCGTTTTCGCCGGTATTGATGGAGCAGTAGACGGAGGTTCTGCGCCGCATTCATCTTCCCTCGATAAGTAGCCAACCCAAGCGAGCTCAAGTAACGAACAAAATACAAACGTCATGCACGAGAGCATCCACACGTCGATTGCCTGCAATAGTTATGGTAACAAACCTTAACATATTTACAGGGGTTTTTTCTTGGCAGTTGCCAATATTTTTTCCATAACTGAGTTATTTGTCAACATGAGGGATTTAGAAGTGATTTTGCAGTGTTGCTCTAATGATACACATAATTTTCCTTAAATATTATTCCCATTTTTAAAATTTCTTTACAGTTTTTGTTTCTAAGACTTTAAAACATTTCAAGTTTCCGATAGTTTCAATATAAGTGCAACAGGGGCTAGCATCAACGATTCGGCGACATGGGGGCAGTCATGCATTCGGGAACATCACCTTGTACTGCTGAACGGAATCTCGCTTGTTCTATCGTTTCGCTATCCAAAACGAATGCCTTTACGTAGAATAAAAAGCGAGAAGTTACAATTTCTGGGCTCTAGGGAACCAGAGCTTTACCTTAGATACATGACACAGCTTCTGGCCTGGTGACGAAGATCTGCAGATTTTCTATAAGCTGAGAAATATTGCCTTAAAGATGAAAGACGTGATAATTCTTGGCCAGATACGAGCCACGTATGGCTCTTATCGTTATGAATGTCTTAATTTAGCGGTTGACTATCTCTCTTGCTTAAATCTGAATGATCTCATATTTGTAGCCAGCTATGAATGTCGCTCGTTACGCATGTAATTAAGCTAATCCGGAAAAGAGAGTATGCTTAAAGCCAGTTGATTTAGCGATTACTGTGAATACGAACAAAACCATTACTTAAAATTTTGTTAGAACAAAGAACCTTATGTCGATAGATTGGATGGTTATCAAAATTTTGACTATAATCTCAAGATTACTGCCCAAGCGTCGAACAATGCATATAGTTTGCCTTATCGTTCGATGACATTCTAAGGAAATGTGACGAAGGCTCCACAGCGTTCGCTTTTTTAATGGTTACGGATTGGTCTATTCTTCTTCTCCAAGTATTCAATGTTTTTATAATGGTGTTTGTATTGTGGATCTGTGTAATTCTCGATCACCTTCACATACGAGACTCGCGGAAGATTTCGAATGATGTTGCCGAACTGGAACGTCATTGCCAGTAACGAGTTCACTCCCAGCATTGTCCTTGCCGGAATTGCCTTCGATCCCAAAGCGAACGATATCCATGCTGAACGACCAGACTGAGAACAGAATAAGATCGCACGTGAATTGACACCACACAAATCTCCTGGTAGCTAGTACAGCTAGCCCATAGAATATAGTGTTGCTATGCAATTAGATGATGTATCATTGACTTCACATGTTTTTTCAAGTTTTATTAAGAATTCTACATATTTTTTTAACGATGTTGGTCATTTATATGTTGATGTATATGGTTAAAAATAAAAGGTAAAGCTCTCGGCGTTGATCAAACCTTGGGTAATGCGCCATTCTACTTCATTAAGGATCGCTTGGAGGTGATTGAATGCATATCTGGCCTTTACAATGACTCGTGGTGGCCTACCGATGTATGGAGCCAGTGGTGCCATTCTCCAAGATAAGTTTGGTACCAATTTTCCAACCGCGGAGGGATGGAAGACTTGGGTGCCCATGGGCGCGGACTTGATTCCATGTGTATGTTGCAGGGCGCCGGCGACCACTGCACCACGCGCGCCCTGCCGTGTATTGTTACATATTCATAATTTCTTTGAATATTCACAAATTTCAAAAAAAACAAATCATAGAATTTACCAAAGACGAAGTAAGCATTATTGCTTCTAATAATATACCAAACCGGTAGTCATTTTGCAGTCGTAAGGACCTCACTCCTTCGGGAGAAAATAATGGAAAAACCACTGAGCAATTGAAAAATAGCATAGATAAGTCAACCGCTTTAAAATACTGGCTACCAGCGAGAGAGTGATATTGAATGCGAATCCGAGTCCTATTCAGTTTTGGATTTCGGAAGCATTCAGATAATTCTGTATGGAGCGATCAGCGTGCTAGTGCAGATTCCCGTTCCGATTCCGATTCGGAAAGAAAATCCAAGATTACAACAGGTCGTAGTGGCTGTTTTCCTGTTCTTGTTTCTTTGTTTCTAGTGGAAAACGTGTTTACTACTAAATACGCCATAACAAGTTTATCTTGGCAGTTCCGTAAAAATCTGTTCTTCATAGGTCCTTTAAAACAATGAAGATTTGCGAGATGTGAAAAATCGGTCAATCTATGATATTCCTAAAGGATATTTTCATAATATTTAGCTCTTAATGATATACGAATAACAAGGCTGGCGTCATCAATTTTCCCAAAGGATATTGTCTGTCATTTTCCTCCCATCCATGAGGTTCTTCTATGAAATAAATTGCCGAAATCAATTTCCATGATTGAATGAGAATTATTCTTCCAGATTTATGATCATAACCATCGCGTTAAGCATCTTTGAAGGATCCATTGAAAAATCACATAGCACTTAAAGAGCGTCAAAAAGTCTTCTTTAATCAAATCTCTCATTGTATTCATATTTTTATACCTTGGCGCTGATATTGTGGGACAATTTGAAGACTCTTGAATGTTCTTCTACATGTGCGAACACTTTTATCTCTTAAAGCACCTGTTGTTTAAGGACTTTTTTTTGCATTTTCTGTTCAGTTTCTTCTTTTTATATTAGAAAAAAAAAACAGACGTTTGATTCAATAAACCACCCGAATTATGACAGTGCCAGTGCTACGGAAGGTGAAAATACCTAAAAACTCGAGTTGACCTAGTAAGATACGAAGCCACTGGTGGGTAGTGTAGCGCGTGTCTCGAAATCCTAGCATTTACCTTGACGGCAATAAATAAGCAAGATCGCTTACACATTTCGAATTTAAGAGATGTCTTCTTTTTGCGGATGCATGTCATTGTCGTCTTCGTACCTCCCTAATGAACTTATGGGCGACGACGGCCAGTTGTGCCGGGCGTTTTTGCCATCGTAGTCATAATCACGGCAATCCACGCGCATTTAGCATTCGCAGTGAGCGGCTAATCATCACATCATTACGAATAACAAGAATACAAAGAAGGTAGGGCACTTCGGATACGAAAAACGAAGAACGAGTTCTTCCTAATAGTTTGTGAATTCTAGTTCTTCTTATATTGCGAAGAACTTGTTCGCAATATTGGGACTCGTTGCAGCGAACTATTATTCATGTATGGTTCCTCATGTTTTTCACCTAAGTAAAGGAGTAAAAACGAAGCTGAGGAGATATTGTTAGCTGAATATGCAGGACAGGAACCTATTTTAGAGCTTAACGTTTGCATTAGCGCTGCGATTATTCCTTCAATTTTCAGTAATGAAGAGTTTACCGAAATTCTAATGAGCGAAACAAGAAATGACACTGTTTTCAGTGGGTTCAAAGTTGTTGCCATGTGATCCAATTTGTTGGCGTCTTATATCGTAGTGTCAGATGTCCGCCGTCATTTTATAGGATAGCGTGATGAGTGGAGATTCCGATAACATAAATATTACATCATCGAGCTCTTCCTCGTGTATGGGCGACTAGGATTTCAGCTTAAGTTTCCCACATTTTAACCTACTCTAACAACCAAGTGCTTCCAGTTTTATAAAGGGTACAAGAAGCTATAAGAAACACATAAGAAGGTGCAACAAATAATATCAGAGTATTACAAAGCGCTAATAGTCGTCACGATTCGTTATCTCTCTATCTCTATTTCTTTCTTTCTCATTCTCTATCCTTAGTTCTCTTTCTGCCTCTTCTTTCCCCTCTTTCTCTCCCTTTCTCAGCAAAAAAGTGAAAAGCAAATTTTTCTGGCTCATTTACTTGCCGTACTTGAATTTGGAAACTTCATTAAATGGATTAAAGTAGCTTTTAAATAAGTTTATAAAATAGAAAACTAGCTTCTTTTCCTTGATTTGCTATCTTGTCAAAACGTGACTTTCTTTCGGTACATGTTTCCTTCACCGGTTCTCTTTTTTTTTTTGTAAGAACTGAACTCAATTAGTAAATAATCGGCTGTAATTCTATGAAAAATCAGACGTGCTTCAAAATGATCTTCCACTTTCACTCTCCCTCTCTCTTTCTTTATCCGTCCATTTGTCTATTATTATTACTTTACTTTTCCTGTGTTTTCCTTTCTCTTACTATACAGTACTACGCAGAGAATACAATTCTACATGAAGATTTCAGATCGCTTTTAAGAATGGGCACAACTAGTAACTATGAAAAAATATCTTAAAGATCTTAAGAAAACTATCGAAAAATAACTTAAGCGGCAAAATATCGAACCAGTTATGGACTGAAAATGTGTCATTGTTGGAATTGCCTTAGTTTCTATACGAAGGGTGGTGTTACAATACCATTAATAGTTAGCCCATAACTCCCCACTACCGTATTTTGTGGTTGATCCAACCGATTACAACCAGCTCTTCGTCGGCTGCGGACTTTCTGATTTTTTGACAGTAAAAAAAACCTCGATGAATAGAGCATTTGACGAATTGCGAACAAGGCAAAATTGTAGAAGAGAATGAAGAAGAGCTCGATTGTTCTATGGATATAAATGATATGTGTGCTACTACTACGAGAGGCGCGTGTGGTGCACCGGTCGGAGTTGCCTGCGACACACACATGGGTTCGATCCACGTGCCCATGGCCCACCAAGTCCTCTATCCCTCTGGGGTCGGCAAACCGTTACCAGACTTGTCTAGGAGGATATCAGCATTGGAATCATTGTAAAGGCCAGAAGCAATCCATCACCTCCAACGATGCTTAATGAAGTCGAATGCGTGGCGCATCCCTCAGGGATTGATCAACACCAAGAGTTTTTTTATCTTTTTTTGATGTTACTGCTTACCATATGCGTTATACAAATGCAATGCTGTTAGCATTTTGAAGCATTTTGGACCCTATGTTGAGTCAATTTCGGTCTTTTTTACATCCCTACATTCCATACGATAATTATAGCGATTAAAATGAAAAACAGTAAATTGTTAGTCAAAATCACCGGCCAATGGACTTTTTTGAAAAAGGGCTTTTGTAAATTAGTAAGTATAGAAAATGGTTTATCCGATCTCACTCTTACTATTTTGATCTGCTTTCGAATAGCTATCGAATAAGTGTGCATAGTGCGGCTAAGAGGCTTTGGAACCCAATAAGCTCATAATGGATACTGTGGTCGTTTGGTTCAGTTCGTTATGAATGCTAAACTGTCTGTACCGATCGTCATGGACTACTAAAACATTAACGAAGCTTTTGCGTAAAATCACTTCTTTAAAAATCATCGATGGACTATGCTAGCGTAAATCCTGTACCGTTTTTATTAGAAATGTGAAAAAAGAGCGCGTGTAAAACTTGGTTCGCTTCGTATGCATCCGATAGAATATTCTTGAAAAGGACCTCATCTGTGGTGTTCTATGAAGTCCTCTATGGGTTACGCCAAAGTAGCAATGCTAACTTATACAAAGGTGTTTTAGTCGATAGTCTAGAAAATCTTGTGTATGGACGAGAAGTCGTGCTTGCCAGCCCAATAGTATCGTGGACCGCTACATCGGAGTTGTACTAGTTAAAGTGACCTAGTCCCTTCAATAGTTCAAGCGATATTTCATAAAGCAAAGAATGTGGAAAATCTTCAAGCTCAATGCTTTAGATTCTAAACACTAGAGAAAGCCTAACACCTATTCCACTTGTAGCGATTAGCTCCGTTTTTTTTTTTGGAGGTCCGTCTTTTTCTGTGGGAGAAAAAACTCGCTCAGAGTTTTTGCGCGTTCTTAACGCACATACTTTGAAAGCGATTATGCCTCTCTATCAATTTACTTGTTGCTGAAACCCCTATCATTTATCGCAATATGTCCTGACTCTTCAAGTGTTTCTTTTTTAATCGGCACTCATTATTTAACACTAGTTAGCCATTTCAAAGAAGAAAAGAAAAATGCGGCTTTTAGAAGTGCATAGGACTTTTTTAAACACGGAACTTTTCGTTGGTGTGGAAAAGCGCAAATGAAGTTAACTGAGACCTCGAGCGAATTAATAGAAAAAAGAATCCAAATAGGATTTCCTCCTCCCGCGAAACATAAATTATTCTAGAAAACGAAAATTATCAATCGTCTCTTGGTTAATACATGTGAATGAAGGAAAATCGAATTAAAGGTTTGATGTAGCAGGTATTTTTGTTTACGTCAAAAAATCGAACCCATTATTTTTCCAACTATTATTTTTCGTTAAATAATTTAAAAGTAATCAAATTACGTATCACAAAATTGGGAAACTAAATATTTTGTTCTGTTTAGTCCTAACACTGTTGAGAGCGACAATCTTCGCTTCATAGATTTTTTAAAACTATTTATTCTTCCTGGATCTTCTATCATAGAGTATGGGATGTATTAGCATGTTTTTCAAAATTCTTCAAACACCTTTTCGCAAAATTTCGTGAGCTAAATATATCCGGAAAACTTATCATTTAGAAAATGGATTTCAAAACATGTTGATTTGGTAAAACGCTGATTTATTTTTGTTTGTTTCCTATTACAAGCGTCTCTTGCCTCTACTTTTTGACTTTTGCATAGAAATTCTTCTTGGTCTCGTTTTATACCGCGAACCTTACACGAGATTCACCATGTTCAGTTACGCAAGGTTCCCCAGGGAATTTAGTGCTCCTTCGTGCTCGGTGAAGTTTTCCGTCCCATCGCCTTCGGCTGACCGTTGGACGAGCAAAATCGGTTTCTTTCCTCGTATCGAATTCGCGTCGCGGAATTTGCAAGTGCTAGCCATAGCGGCTTTTCATCCTAAACAACGGGGCGGGGAAACTCATCCGCGTCTGGTCACCTAAAAATCAAAACCGAGTTCGTTTCGATTGTAAGGGAACGGAATTTCAGCTGGAATGCTTTGCTGAACATTGAAAAATATGAAATGTGCTGCTAATAAGTTCTGAAACACGTTTAGCCTTGCTTTCTTCACAGCAAATTACTTCCATATTTTGAAAAAAAACTTGGTTTTTTCTTATTTTGTGAGCTTTATTTGTATTGACAGGTTTTTCCTGATTGCTTAATAATTGTGTGCATCAATAATTCGCGAGAAGGCGATCTCTTGAAAAAAATATGCTCACCCCTGCCCTCATGGGAGTGGAAGACGCTCTACAAAACTATTAAATAGCTAAATAATAAGTAAAATTATAAAAATAATGTTATTAGGAAGAGGAATAAAGGAGGTTTTTACTAAATACTTTAACTGAAAGTTTTTTCAAAGGGATTCACTTATTTTTATGTTAAATTCGATTAGAACGGTCGCATAGATGTGGAATAAATCTCGACCTCAGTATTGTATGAATATAAAAAGTAATTTGTAAAAATGAACTGTCTTGCAGAAAGTTCTTTGTGACTGGAGGGAAGGAAATGGCTTGAATAGGACAAGTTTTGTAAGAAAAAAAAGAGAAAAGTGTGCTCTAATCGAGATGAAATTGGGATTAACCCGCTTCACTAATGCGATTTCACGCTGAGTAAATCATTCAGGAAAAATCTAGCGACAATGAAATTTTTAGCTCAATTCTACAAGAAGGAAATGGCTACTTGCGAAGAAAACGAGTAGAATTGGAATGGAAACGGGAGTTTTTATTCCAATTCAAGAACGACATGTTGGAACCATTTTTTGAAGTAATCTGAGAATTTTTTTTTCAAGTTATTGATCAGAATTCATTCAAATAGTAGGAGCAGCAGAATGTTGAGAATTAGGTATCGAAACGAAAAGCTCGGAGACTCTCACTTCTGATGTCCCTAGAGGCAGTTCATTTCGTGAAGTTGACGAGAAGATCGTTGAGCATTGGCACTTTTAATCCGAGATGCATGAAAATATGAGTGCAAAATGAACAAAATGGGGTGGTCGACGTGATGAATGAAATAGTTTAGAAGAGTTGGAAAACAAAACGGGTATAAGCGAATGATCTTCGTTAATAAATCAAACGAAATGAATTTCATAAAATCCACAGGAAAAGGCTAAATGTGGAAGCAGAAGATACTTACAGATGCAGATGGTCAGGTAAGTCGGCAGGTAAGCCTGCAAAATGTACCAACCAGCTCGACGCTTGAAATGGAACTTCATCGTGAGTTCGTGCCAGTAACCGGCTGGATACGGCTGGAAAAAAATATCTATCCAAATAACTTTCAGCTTCTATGAGTCTTTAATTCCATGATTTCTTAGCATTTGACCTTTATTTTGAGTAGCATTCAATATATTATTCTTTCAATAAGTCTCTTGCATACGCTAGAAAGCAATGGGGCATACAATTCAAACATTTTTGTTTCTTCCCAAACCCTTAAGTCGCTAGTAATAATTCAAAAAGAGGTACGACCAATGATGCAAATCACTGAGATGCTCGACTTAACACTGGACTTGCTGCCGTTCTGAGTAAGTGCTAAGCGTAATGCAGTCAATTTCGCTCCCATCCGTTTTCGTGGACCTTCAGGATTTCATGGCGTACTACGCCCAAGCAGCGTGCAACATGTCAGTAAAGAGGGAACAAGGAAAGCAGCATCCGCATCGACGCCCGAACACGACAACCTCCATGAATGATTGTGTCGGAACAACAAGACACTTAGAAGAATTGATAAGATCAGCATGAGAGACCAGGACTGATTATCTACGTATAAAAATATCGAGCTCTATAAAAACGGAATAAGATAGAGTTGAATTGCCTATAGGACAAGATAATCAGTTTCAAGTATAGAATTGGATGGATACGAACATATGAATATATTCTTCCTATATGCCAACGAGTGAAAGATAGACACAACGAATAATCTACACAATCCATATGTTCCTCAACAACCTTAGTTTGGTCAAGAATTGAATCGGAGGAAGAACTTCCATCCCGAAGATTGATGAGTTAAGCGAATAATTCGTGAAGCTTACTGACTACACTAGCAAACCATTAAACATCATCGGTACGTTCAAAGTAAACAGCTAAGTTGACACGGAACTACTTTGGTAAATAGGAGAAGTTCATTCGTTTACGTGGTGAAGGCAGCTTCGTTTTTACGCTAATTTCGATTTTTGGTGCCTATCTGAGTCTCGATACTTGATGCTTCTGATGCAAGTCTCACGAGTCGAGATGACTGAATGACACTGCAAATTTATGGCGAAGTTATCGCACTATGACAATCGGGACTCTAGTGATACGCGTTTTCAGTCCTTTTAACGACTCGCAATACACAGCAGCATTCCTGGTTAACTTTTTCATGGGTGATAAATATTGCCATGCAAAATTTTTTTCATGGATATTTACTAAGCCCAACACAGCATGTTTCCCGAATGTCGTCGTTCATGAATGAACTAGGAAGTGAATTCAACTGCAAATGGGAGATCGAGATTCTTTAGCTGGTCCTCAACCTCAAATCTCACATCCGCTTTGCGTTATTGCAGTTTTTCTTAAGGACAGTTCTCACCTCTACATTCCGAATATTCATTATATCCACAAGTTCATAGTCGGCTAACTCCATTTTGTCGCGCATTTTACTAACTCCAGTCGGTGTCCATGACATTTGTACTTCATCTGTATTGTAGCTGGAATTAAATTGAATTGAAACAACCAATACAACAGCGAATTGATGTCAACAACAAAAAAACAACGCTGAGATGCTCACTTGAATGACTCGAAAGTCAACGAACAAGTGACGTTATCGAATGGAAACCTGCAATAGACACAAGATAACGACTTTTTTGAGTAACAGTTGTAAAATGGGACAACATTTCTACCTCACCTTGTCAAATCCATTTCGCATGGTCCCTGTAACTTCAGACGATAATTCGTCCACACTGAAATGTCGAAGATATTTGAATTATGTGGAAATGGGAAGTACTGGCCGGGAAGTGAAGATTGAACGCCTTTCTTGCGTTAAGCGGTTTGTCAATTTTCAGAAATTTACAAATCTTTTATGCAGTGTCTTCACAAATGTTCAGTCATAAGTCTGCAAGTAAAGGAAGAAGTGTGGGTTTGTCAACTCATTTAAACTGGTAAATAATGAAAATTGATTAGACGACAATGAAGACGAGATAGATACATTTTCTTTTAGCAGTATTCGATTGCTCATGTTATCATCTTTGACCTCACTAAGGGTATTTAATAGTTCTTCGAGAATATTTTTCTGTTGGTGCTTATTCGAATTATCCTAGTTGTCTTAAAATTCGAAAATTCTGGAAAGATTCCAGGAATCGCTCGAAAATTCGCGAATTACAGCGCCAATTGCTTATAGCTCGAATAGAGAGCTGTTCAGTGCATTTCGGGTTTTACAGAACGAGCCGATTTGTCGCTAATTCTTGAACCTTTAGGGTTTGATTCGGTAAATCACCGTGAGATTTCTAAATGATGATGAGCTAACCTGATCCATTAGCGTAAATGAGCAGAAAGATATTCGGAAATGGACTCCTATGAATGTCAGCCGTCTTCGAATTGATGAAACACGAATTTGGCGTCCATAACTTCTCCAATAGTACACTATTCAACGACAAATTATATTTACATGGATTCAACGCCGAGTAATCGAGTGCCGGATCCAACCACATCTCCGAGATGTAGATGTCCAACTGAAACATGAGGACTTTGGCAGATAATAGCAACTGTTTTTCAACATTCGTCGCTTCATGGTATTTTAATGGATGCCTTAGCAGAAATTCACCGATAAGCGCACATAATTTCGAACGCAAATGGACTTTATTGCCGTTGAAATATCTCAAAAACTTGTACATTCGATAGAATCCCTCGCCTACAACGAGCACAGCACGACTTCTTGGCGAGAATTTCAAATGTATCTCCAGTTTACGGATAGCTCTCATGATGTTAGCACAGTATGAAAAAGTGAAGGTGTTATGAGATTAAAGCCTTGTTCTTCGTACGTACGGACCGCTCTTAGCCGTGAATATGCGGCTACGTCCGTTACTCAGTTGGCTGTGAAAGTGACGAATATTCAAATTCAAGGTTAATACTCGTGAGCGTTCTATTCAAGGGTGAAAACTATGGTGCAACTCGGTGACAAACCTGAAAATCGCTGGTTATGTCGGATATGGTGGTGATCTCCTGCACCCATACTTCGACTTTCACCTCAACCTGGTATAAAACATAGAGTAACGAATGTTTTATTTCAATAATTTCACACAGTGTTTGTTATGATAGCAGCTAAGGAAGAACTTCAACCAGAAATTTCACCTCAGTTAAAGATGTCTTCTATTGGATTTTTTTCCATAGTTTTCAGGATCATATATGGATGTACACAAAAAGTCATATAAATAAGTGCAGCACAACATGAGAAGAAATAGTCTAGATAACTATGCTCAGCTACTATAAGAGAACGGTTATCATCCAGAGTCATCTCTATCTTTTCAATGTATTCATTCCTCTTGAAGACTCATCGAAGTTCAGCTGCTCAACATTTCCATGAAGAAGCCTAGTGAAGCGCAAATCTTTATCGCGGCAGAGTCCGGCAAGATACCCGTCGACCCAGTCGTCAAAAACAATAAAATCTTTTACGAAAATTCGATGCGCTGGTGAACTTTGAGGGAGCGATGCCCATAGCGAATCAGTTGTGACGTTCGACATGGATGATACGGGTTTTCACAAGTACTTGTTTGGGTTGAATGATCATTGCTTCCTAGATGATACAGATTAGTTATAATGTAAGTGTGCGCAATTCGACTATTCATTGTAATCATCTACCAAAAAAAACTATAGCTTAAAAAACTATGAAAAAAACTATAAAAACTTTAAAAAAACTATAGTTAAGCTAATCAACTATAGCTTAACCGCATCAACGTTATTGCTTTATGGGCTTCGCAAGGCGACAGACGATTTATAATTTTTGTTAATAAAAAAGATTCTGAGGGACTCAACACCTAATCTTACCTGTCCACCGGGAATTTTGTGCCTGTTGTAGTTTCGCATGATTGTGCTGAGTATATACGAATCGTTTGCGCACTGCTTCGTGGCTCTTTCCACCTGAGAAAGTCGACGTAAGAGACTCGGAAGAAGAAGTTCGTGTATTCCTATAGTAATCATCAAAGCACCTTGGTTGGAATGACGATCGGACGTAAACCGCCATGTTCATCGAGCTCCCAATCATAGCTACGACTTAAACGACGAAGGGTTCTTGAATTACGTCTATACACGGATTTCCTAAATAGAAAATGGAAATAAAATTGGCGAAGGAAATATTTTTAAAGTTTCCTTTTTAGATTTTTCAAGTTTTATAGTTTTAAAGAAATCCTTTTTCGCGGGTTTAGGTTAGAATCTTTCAAGTGATGCTTTACAGAAAGTTATTGAAAGGAAATTTTTTTTCCTAGTAACAGAAGGCGACCTTTAAAATTGTCGCAGTTCTTTTGCTTGACTCCTATCTCTTTTCCTTTTTAATGATTTTTTTCCACTTTCTTTTTCGTCTCGCTTTTTATCTTGTCGGTTATGCTAACTGCTGTTCTTCTTGTTCTTCTTTGGTTCATATTATGATTTGTTTCAGTTCTTTGTATCTCGAAATCATTAGCTACCTGATGGTAAATATCAATACTATAGCATTAGAAATGAAGTGAACCTAGTTTTGGTCACTTTTTTTGCAAAGGATGTCCCTCTTCCGTTGCTAATTATGTGACTCGTTCTTGACTCACAAAAAAGACGTAACGACCTTCGAATAACACGGAATGGCGTCTTCTCGCGAATATTTATTTCGTTCGCTCGTTGTTGACTATTTCTAGATTTCATAACAAAATCGCGAAAATCGAAGAGAACAGCTTTTTTCAATCTCAGCTTTTCATAATGGAAAATGCTGAGCGAAGCCGATTAATTAAACTGAAGCATTCCACATGTTCTTAGAGAGTTCTACTCAGTAGTTTTGTGCTCAATATTTTTCTTTTCATTCCTTTACATTCTTTTAAGCATAAAAAGTAAAAGAATCAATTTGAAAGAAACAACGACCTTGTATTAGCGTTCGAAAACAAATCGAATAGCCACCAATACACTATGAATCATTCTAAAGAAAAAAAATAAACAAAGAAAACACACAGAAAAATAACTTGGTACGAGGAGAGCTAAAGACAGCGTCTAGTCACCTATTCTTATTTAGGTATTCGCGCGCACTTTATGTTCCAACATAAGCTAGAAAGATGGGCGAAAGAAAACGAAAAAAAACGGAGAACGCGGACAGTGCAGCCCGTTTGTTTCTTTCGACCTTAAAACGGCCCTCTAATCTCTCACTCACCTTGTATTGCATAAGCAACCGACGATCAGCAGTATTAGTAGAATACTGATATAATACATTCGCCGGTGAGAGCGTTTCACTAGCCCCACACAGCTCAAATCGACCTCCTTGCCATTGATTCTCGCAAGTGGGCGGTGTCACTGGCCAATTCCTCCCTCATCTCCGCCAATTGTTGTTCGCCATCCTGCCACGCCTCCACCACTCGCTCCGCCCACTGGCTTACATCGAAGAGTTTTAAAATATGATGTTTACCGGAAAGTGAGCATCGTCTACCCGTTTCTGACGAAAGAAAGCGAGATTTTTGTTGCATGCAGGTGTTCCTATGAATGATGGTGTTGTTCCTGCATGATTTACGTGTAGAGCAGCTTTCATTTTCTGACTTATAGAAGATTATATCATCGTATACCAGCTCTGATCATTCAGAATGAGACCAATTTGTCAAATGTACACCGAAAAAAAGTGTGCAAATATTAGGTGTACGATCAGGTTCAGATTTAGTCTCAGCCTAGTCTTAGCCTAGTAATCGTCGTCTTTTCTCATTAAGATGTGGCCTTCTGATAAATTTTTGAGTAAACATCTTTTTCATTATTAAATGAATCAAGAATACTTTTAGTATTAGGGATCAAAACCTGACATTTAGGATAAAATTGAATAAATGAAAAAACTGTTGGATGTAAACCGTAACTATCCTTCATGGATATCTTCTTGGATATATAAAATATTTTTTATCTAATATCTGAAAAGGTCACATGTAGCGTAGTGGTTAGAGGCGCATTGCAATGCACATGGGTTCGATCCCATGTACCAGGCTTAACAGGCCTTCCATCCTTCCAGGGTCTACAAATTGGTACTGGACTTGTATTGGAGGAAAGCAGCACTGACTTAATACATTAGTGAGAAACTTCCGCCAATCATTATATGGGCTAGATATGCATTCAGTCACCTTTAACGATGCTTGATGAAGTCGAATGCATGGCGCATCTCCCAGCGATTGATCAACGCCGAGGGCTTCATCCTTTTATGTTTGAAGTTAAAGCAGACGAGATTTCGGTAAATAATATCAAAAGGCAAGTGAATGATGAGAAGAAATCTATAAAGATCATGCGATTCACCAGTATTGACCGCGAGGCAAGCCGAACGACGGCATTCCATAACGGCTGTACTCATTCTCCTTGATGATATGGTGAACGTCATCTTGAAATCCAACGTCTGTGCGAGAGTTCTATTCCTTCCCGGAAATAGTTCCAAACCATGCAAAAGTGTGAGAGCCTAAACTGGCTTTATCTTTTCCTTGACTCAGCTCACTTTGAAACACTATTTTCATCAACCGGAAGCTTTTCCGTTTCCAAGTGCTACATTCTCACTATTTTGAGAATGTAGCAGTGATATAAAACCTAGAGGATCGAATAGGAATAAACTTTAGATAAAGCAGAAAGGAATGACATGTAATTATTTTAAAAACCATCAAGATCACTTGCGCAATCACAAAAAAAATGTGTTGTTTCGTTCTTGGTTAGCTGATAGGAGGTTAGACAGGAGCAGAGCTTTGAGCCCACAATTGTCATGTCTCGGCAGAATTCATCTTCAGCTAGATGAGCGGTATATTAATGCGAAGCACGCTCGGTCCTATGCTTCAAATAAAAAATTGTTCATCATAACTGATACCTAAGATCTCATTTTTTCGTGAAGTAATGAAAATGTTTCATCGACTAGGAGACATGTCGTCGGCATTATCCTCCCCGAGCTTTGAGGAAACTATCACCTAAATGTCAACTATTCTGAAGTGATTGTCATGTTAACAACTTCGTTTTGGTTTGTAAACAAAAAAGAGTTTGACGGGTGATTGCTGATGGCAAAAAGATCGATAGAACTAGCTGAGAGACAAGCAAAACGAAGGTCCCGGATGGTGTGGTGGTGAAGTGCGTTGCTCCCCGGTAAGGACAACAGCGCGGGTTCGTTTCCCACCGCATACACCTTCGGTCCGGAGTTTTGCAAATATCTTAGCATTATATACGAAAAAAAGTTTGTTTGCGAGTGTCCAAGTTAATAGGAAGTCGGTCTTGTGGATAGATTTGAAAAAACCATTCAACTCCAAAGTCGGTAATGCTGAAGGAAAAGTAGACCAGGAATGACTGAACAAGCTTATTAGCATCTAAGGGCGGTGAAGAAAGAGTGGTAAAATTTCCTGTAGTATACGACGAAAATCTGTGCATGTATAGCCATAAATTGGAATATATTGCGCATAATGAAATTCCGTTTATCTATGGAATTCCATGAGCCAAACGGAACGCAAAAAAGAAGATGCGATGAGTAGGATCGTTACCACTTTTTCTTTTCTATTCTCTTCCATGCTTTTATACCCAAATGATCCATCCACGCATGAATTACAAGCTCCAACACTTCTCTCAACTGTTGCGTTTTTTTTTGCAAAAACCCTCAATGTAGATGGTAAGATTTGTGAAAGAGTTCGGTTTTGGCTTCAGAATCAGGCGTGCTCTCTATTCAGCGTGTTGAATCCTGATTAATCCAGGTTTTTAAAATCTTGAGATAACCGTTTGAAGATATTCGTGATTCTTCACCACAAGAGACCACTAACCGAGTTAGACCGATTTCTAATTTTTAGCGCGAAGTTTTGCATCGCCTGGCATTGCCCTTCATGTTCGAAGCAAATGTTTAAGTAAAATAAAAACACAGTTATGGTGAGATATTTGCAAAACTTAGGCCTCATGCTAGATTCGAGCCCGCAATCACCCTTAGCGTGGACTCGCGTGTAACCCACTGCTCCACTGAGCCAATTACTTTACCTTCTTTTCAGCCAGTTTTTTTCACTCTAATAGGTAAAAAGGGTTAGGATTATTGTGGTTCTATTTCACATAATACGCTGTTGTAACAAAATACCTGGTGCGAGAAATTGTTCATTAATATAGTTTTCTTTGCTTCTGTGAGAGCTCGTTTTTGTGCCACATTTAATTCTTTGCTCAACCGATGACTGAACTAACCATTTCAACCTCGATGTTATGAATGTTTGATTCACCAGCGACTAATGAGCCAACGGATCCACGACTGAAGACTCTGGCTCACGAGTGACCACTTGAATTTTGGTGTGCACATAATCAACATCGGCCATCCTAGGAAGGAGCTGGTTGCAGGGCGGTGAGACCCTCTCCGACCCAAGCAGGCTAGGTTCAGGATATGGTGACGACCTAACGCGGTTGTCTCAGAACTCCAGGAAAAGAAAGCTTCACCAATTACTAAAAAAATTGTTGAAACACAGCGGAACACATTCATTGTGTGGTTAAGCTCTGTGCAGCTTCTATCTATCAGTTTTTGTGTGATACGAAGAGAATGAACACAATGAACAAAGCAGTTGCAGTGCATAAATGGTCCACAAATTCACTTGCAGGATCTCGAGTTTAGAGATAAAGTGAAAAGGTTACAAAAAATCCCACTTTGGTTGTTCACTGAGTGGAATTAGAAATGAACAGTAAAGAACACTAGGTGGAAGTATTTGGGTGAGAAGAACTAGTGAAAATTTGACCGGAAAGTGTGGAAAGTGTTTAGAATATGAATGCGTCGTTCTCTTGCTCAGCAATCGAGAAATTGTTATACAGCGTACATTTACTTCCATAGAAAATTACACAATGAACAGTAGCTAACGTTTCGGCAGTATCGCCTTCTTCAGAACCTGGAAGATTTAGTGCTTAGAATTGTAAACTACACAACAATTGTTGACATCTTCTGGATAGTTAGCGTAATTGCAGGAAGTGCGTCGTTGCGCTGCTCTCGGCGTTCGGGGATTTGAGATAGGATCGCATGTCGGCGAGAAGAGCCTCGATCATGCCGACTTCTGGCCTCTCTATAAAGTCGGCTTCTTTTCAGTATCACCATTCTGATACACGGAACCAGAAAGTCATGTCTGGACGGTTAGTTTGTCACATGGCGATTTCAGGAATGCGAGGATCTCGGCCTCGTTTTGTTCGTTCATCCATGGGATATGCACAATTGGGACGGTCGTCTCAAAAAGTATTGGATGCCATGGCTCGTAGGTCTGTTTAATTCTGCAGTACGTCTAGCAATATGTTAAGCCCATTTTGCATATTTAGACTTATTTGTTTACTTATCTCACATTCATGCCTATTTGGTAACTTCGTGTTTTGCTATCCGGTTTTAATTCATTTTTTTACATGACTTCTTTTCGCATCTACTGCACGGGCCTCACATTTCTTGTATTCGATTTGTTTCCTCGCACCCATCGTCTACGGAAGTTTTTGAGTCTTTGAGTTTTCGAGTGTGGGCCTGAATGCTGCTTGATGGTTGTCGCCTTTTTTATGGATGTCGTTGAATGCTGGTCAAGCCCATTCTCCCTGGGGTCCTGGGATAACAGGACTAAAACGTGTGCAAATGGATTACAGGTAGTGGTGTCTGCAGAGGAGTTTGTCACTAATTTCGAGACCCTAGTCGAATAAGACTCTTCGTAATTATGGGTTGAGGTCGAGCCAGTACGGCGTTCATAGTGATTAACATCACTTCCACTACCCTACCTACATCTTCAACTTTTTATCACGCCACCTAATCCTTTTTCACTTTTCAAATCGTTGCGTAGTTATGGTTGCCTTGGTCTAGTCTTTGGTTGTTGGTTTAGAAGAGTATTCATACTCATATTTCAATTATGGCTTTCACTTCCAACCAACGTCTCCTATATTGTACCAATGAAGATTCCTTGAAACACAGACCTTATGGAAGATTTGCTTCTATAAAGTAATTTTTGATTTGTAGTTGTGTTGGTTTCCAATACTTTAGACTCGATTATTTGTCAAACACATTTGAATACCTGAAATAACTTTCAAGGAATAAGATCGAGAACTTCCACATCGTCTTTGTTTTTCTTTTCTTTTCTTTTTTTTCGTTTTTTTTTCTTTTCTTTTCTTTTCTTCTTCCTCTTCTTCTCTTGCTTCTTCAAATTCAACGTCTTTATTTTAAATTGAAGTTGAAACAAAAATTAAAGAGTGGCTCTCATGATAAATCGGAAGACTCAAGAATCGAAAGGAATGACGAAAACTTTGGTTACAAATGTATAGAGTTAGTTGTGTTCAACTTAGACATTGGTTTCATTGGTTGAATACTTTAAGAAGTGAATATTTCTCAACCGGCGAAAGTAATTCACGAGAAGATCTCGCGCAATTGCAGAACTCACGGTTACCTGTGAAAAATCCCATCAAACAGCCCTAGGTTATATTCACATGGCATTATTCAATAATTGATTAAAGTTTGACAAAAATCAATCCTTTGCAAGATCGATAATTATACGAGAAAGATAAGTCGCAAATTTGTGGATATGCAGAACACTTACCGTGTTTCATAAGAAATCCACGTTTCACAACTATTCCAGGAGGGTAAAGTGAATCGGAAGAATTTGCCATATGAATAGTTCATCAGCCTCTGAAACCTTGTTGCTAAGACATTAGGTACATGTTCAAATTACTGCAGCGTCTGTAATCAAACTGCTCCATTCTATCGCCAACAGTGAGTAACCGACTCTCTTGAAGCTTGCACTTGTCGTCTCAAAGCTTTCACATGAGACGTCGTCAATAATGATTACCTTTAGACGCTCTTTTCGTCTTAAATGTAATTTTTAAGAGATTCGGTATACCTTAACAAAAATACTTGTTTTAGTCCTCATTCAAACAAAGGGAGTGAGTAGCGCAATGGTAGTGATCCCTTACACAGAGGGCAGAATCCACCCAAACACTGGTTCAACGCCAGCCACCTCTATCACCTTATATGGCTGTGAAATTAGTATCAGACTAGTCTAGAATAAACTGACTTTCTCCAATCAACGCAGGTACGCTTCCTCACGACGATCTCAGCGTTCCAGGAAGCATCAACTTGCCCAGTATAGAGCGAAGTTCTTGCCAAAGATAATTATGCTCAAGCGAAGCCAAATCCATGCGCAAGGAAGTTCGAAGATCTTTGCTGGTGAAGGCGTGGAAAAAAAAACGAATGCAAGAAGTCCTGGATTCCGTACAGTGTGGTACATGTGATGTCAGGCCATGTAATATATAAATAAAAACTTCTGATGGGCGACCGAGATAAGTAGACTTGTTAAAAGAGCGCTTACTTCACTCAATGAATAACGGTAGAAAAGGGTGAATAAAAAGTCGATCTTTCAAATTAGAAATAATTAACTGAAAGCTTTTGTTACAGGGATGCCGTCGGAAACGGCGCAGGCAATATGCAGTGTATTAATGGGCAACGTTTTACTTCTGTTTCCGCGTCTTCGCTTTTGCTTCGCGCACGGTGGCGGATCGTACCCGATGATAGCCGGTCGAGTCGCCCATGGCTATAAGGTCTGATAGTACATTGCTGAAATACGCTCTTTTCTTGATGAGCAAACACGAAGTTGTTGGCTTACTATCTGTTGACAAGAAAGTTGACGTTTCTTCGGATTTCGCCTTGAAGGGTCAGATAGACCGCAATGTACTTGAGCAAACACTTCCATAACGAAACAGAGAAGACACTAAAGCAAGATTCCTATCGTTTTAAAAACAAAGTAGCCTCTTAGTACACTCACCGCTTTCTATAAATCTTCCACTAAGTATTTCACGTGAAAATCAACCGCAAAGAGTTCACATGGAAGGCTGTCTCATTTTAAAATATCAGTTTTAAATGCTATGCGAGATCACACGCCATGACTACTAAAAATTTTATCCTGCGGTTTATTTCTAGAATTTTGGAATTTATCCAGGTTGCTTCAAAAGTTTTGAGCTGAGGTTCTCGATTCTTGTCTGCCTAGGGTGCATTTCGTCTTACATAAGTTTACTAACTAACTTACTTACTTGGATACTTGGACGGCCCGTGCTCACTAGTCTCACTAGTTGTGCGGACCCCAAGCACAGTCTCCATTTTTTAGAGACTAGCTGGCTTAGCTATTGTGGTTCCCTGGAATCCCGAGGACAGCCTGGCCAAAGTCTCCCTAGGTCATCAACAGCACAGGCAGTCGTAGTACTTGTGGATCAGTGGGAGATTACCAACCATGCAATTACTATGATACCAAGACGGCGATCGATCGTGGTATTGGTTTACTCTTAGCGGGGCTTCCTGATGGAAAAGCCGGACTCCTTCTCAGCTTTGGAGACTCTGCTGAGGGAACGAAGCCACCCGCTGTACATCACAGTCCGTCACCCAGAAACACCTCCCAGCCACGATGAGGAGGCAAACCGTTGAGTGGAGTTTATCAGCTAGATGTTTTTTTTTGTCCTAACACAGAGTGGTCTACCTGTTTCGCTAACGCATTCGTCTCCCCATGTTTTACAAGAGGCCGATCTGATTCACCGTTTCCGAACTCGTGCAATCACCATCTTCACCGTTAGGACATATTACATAATTTTGCCTTGTGCACAGACGGTAATGAAAGCGGTTACGGTCTAGCTAATGTTCTTGAGACATCGGTGATTTCAATTTCTGCGACCATGTTCTTTGCATTGACCGTTTTTAAAAGCCACTTTAAAGCTGCGCTTACTTCATTGGAAATTAAGGGCAGTTTAAAGGAAACCTTCTCTTCATCAGAATTATCGCTTGTGATATTTGTTTTTTCTCTAAACCTAATCGAAGGAGTAACGATTTCGCAGCGATTAGCACTGGTTCTTTCACGGACCATTTTCAACGATTCCACCTTTTATTTTCTTTTGTACAGTGCCTCTTCTAAACATCGTTCTCAAAGGGTTCCTTCTTGTTTGGTGAGAGGAGAGGGAATGAACCAATATGGTTTTGTTACCTGGCATTGGGTACCAATTGGTTAAAGCTGCGGTTTCGGTTATATGGTCGTTTTTGGACAGCGCAACATGAGCGTTCAAAAATGGAAACCAGTTTTCTTTAGATTTCTCTCGTTTGAATTTTGTGTAATCGAACTGTTCGTTCTCCAGTTATTCCCTTATCCATTAACTGTTTGTTCAACACCTCAAAACACTTGGACAATCCTTTTTGTATTGAGCGGATAACAAAACAATTACTTGCCTATTTACAGTACAACGGTAGCCGGAAATCGATAACTGGAGCGTGCATTTCAGGATTAAGTGCGATAGTATGGCTCCAGTCACTGTCCCATTTTCATCGTGTCGTGTGTGCGAAATACTTCTCTGGGCATCTAAAAACTTAACAGCCCAGAGACTCCCTTAAGAAGACCATGAGCTCCTGAATCGAGCAGACTTGCATGTTTATTACTTCTTCGTGTTGAACAAGAAGCTCGCGGATGGCTTGCATTGCGGAGTCGTTCGGACACGTTAGTATAAAGTGCACTAACATCGAACGATTTCGTCAGTTAAATACGAGTTGGTAGGGCGCGTCTTACGTAGACGATCCAGAAACCTTTGGGTGTTCGTGTGTTCGTAAGATGGGCTGGAAGGTGTTTTAAGAACTACGTAAGCATTAGGGTCGAAAAACCATGCCGTGCTATCTGTTGGTCCGTCTACACAGTTGTTGATGAGTCTTACCTTGAATAATGATGAGTCATTAGGAGCAAGGTCATCAGTGGAAACTAACTAGTGTGTAATGCTGAGATATTTGCAAAACTCCGGACTAGTGTGTTTTAATATGTAACTACAAACGAAAACATCTTATTAGGTCCAGTTCGAGTTGAGAAATAGCTGACGGCTTTGAATTTTCTGCTTTTGCCAGCTTTTTTACTTAGTCTGTACACGACCGTTAAACCTTACTAGCGTCAGCTAAAGTTTATTAATGGGCTTATTTTTTGGTAAAAGCAATTATTCTCAGGGGTAAACGGTACGCATGCATCCAATCTTTGGACGAGATCTTTTGGTTACTGAGTGCTCTTCTACAGATAAGAGAATTTTAGGTGAGGCCTGACTTATGTGCCACTGATTGCCTCACGAGTCCTCGTGTTTTACAACAATCGATCTGGACCGATTCACTTGTTCATGATCCGACTGCACTTAATCTTCTCATCAATGTTGTTGGCAAGGTGAGTTGAGAAGCAAAGCCTAATCAAAGGATGAATATACAATCTTCTTATGAGGAAAAGCATTGTTCGTAGTGCGTGATATTTGTTGATATGAATTAAAAAAAACTGTGAAAAAAAGCTTTGGGATAACAATGTTCTTGACTCGGCTAGATACAATTCAACTATTGAAAACTTTTTTATGAAGGTAGAAAGCTTCATTGTTTCCAAGCACACTGTTCTGGATTTTCCAGTTCATGTTTCCCATTTGCTCTGCGCTGAATCTAAGGCACCCACAACTTCAACACTAGTTGAAATCTGTTTAACTGGTACTGGTTGGAATATATCTCTGCTTTGTTGGAAAACAATAAGGCCGATTTATCTGATATCTTGTTAACTTTGTTGGACAGGATTACAAGACGTTACACTTATCCTTCTGTTAATCTCTTGATTGATTTGGGCGAGCACCAGATTTCTCCTTACCAAGTGCAAGAGTAGCCCAGTAGGTTCTTTTTGACCTTGGGTTTTCTGAGCGCTCTATTTTTTTTAGAACCTTAGTAAAAAAAAAAGTTTGGCTTTCGGTCGGTGATTTTTTTGCTGTGGGCTTGATATTCCATGGGATCCGGTCAGTAAAGCTCTTACCCACCAGCTATAGTGAAAACTATGGAGTGAATACCACCGATTTTAGACATTGTTTCCTGTAACGTCATCTATAATGTAATCTTTCTTCACGGATGCAGATCGGCAGCGGTTCGATCACACTGAAACCTTTGTCATCCCGCTGAGGTCCTAATTTTCTATGCATACATTGAGGCAGGAAGAGTCGCAAAATCGAAGAGGGTGGGCACGGAATCTGGAGTTATTCTTTCTCACTATATCCTTGATGCTCAGCACTTTTCCTTGTAACTGATATGTTGAGTACTGGATGAGCATGGTTTCCTAAATAGCCATGGGTATTTGCAAGTCTTCACAGAACATCGTTGTTGATCAGAGTGAAGTGCGCTGCTTTCTCGGATTCTCTCGGCTCGGCGGCAATTTCTGTTCGAATAGCAACCTATGTGCTATGCTACAAATACATTTACAAAGAAAGCACTGTTATAATTTTAAATAAGTATAAGCTACGGTTGTTATCATATTCGAAGCACCATCATAGGCGGCGACTGCTCGAGAAAGAAACTAGTGGAAATTGCACTGGTCCCGCAGCAACAGTGAAAAAGAACTGAAGAGTGGAATGCGTGTTTATCAATATCTCTCTACCCATTCGCCGTATCGTGTGAAATAAACTGCATAAGATTTTAGCAACTAATACGGTAGTACACAATTTCTCTGATTACTCTTAGCACATTGCGAAACATTGGGAAGATCCCCTCACCCTATAAGCTCTTTGGTAGCGGTTTCATTTAAAGTCGAATAGATGTTAGTATTATTTAATTGTATATTATAGAATTACTTAGTTAAATTTTCGCTGCAGGACAAAGTTGTGCTGGGAACCGACTATCCATTCCCGTTAGGAGAACTAGAAGTTGGCAAGGTACGCACCACTGTAATGGATAGTTCATAACAAATGGTCCTCGAGAAATAATATTTAGGTTATTGAAAATCACGACGGCCTTTTGGAAAATGACAAAGATCGGCTGCTGTGGAGAAATGCTATCGAAATGCTTCGCTTGGATGAGAATTCACTGTTCAGCAGAAGACTTTAATTCCGCTATCAATGACATCACTCTATTTTTGTTTTGCCCATTGCAGCAGTGATTATAGGGTCAAATACTATGGGCGGATTGGACTACAACCGCCACTGTTCTATTGACTGATTAATAGAGCAGTGGTTTTTTTTATTATATGAAACCTCGTATATTTGGAGTGTATTTGATGGACAATGCAATGGTTTCAACTTGTCATAAATTGACCTCAAGTATGATGAGGTGCTAGCCGTAAATATTTGATAAAAATCTGTTTTGCGCACTGAAGCTAGAATTCTAGGCCCACGCCATATCGTTTAACATCGAACATTCAGGAGCTGTGACACAGTCAATCATGAATCATACTACGGTGACGTCAGATTTTACCTTTGCCCACGTAATTTGATCCACCTTGGCTAGACTCCTCTAAAAATGCACGGAAGGTCCCACATTTCCCTCCACATCGCTAGCTCAGTTAAACTAGCATAAGTTTTTGCTTACTTATTTTGATAACCACTGACCTCCCTCATATGAGGGATTCCGGGTTAGCCGCGAGGCTACGCGGCGCGCCCCGGGTGGCAGATAGGGGTTAATCGCGGACCATAAGCGACCTTTGCTTTTCTGAGACACAGGTGGATCCAAGGGATGGACTCCCTATTTCTGCTACGCCGATTTGGCACATACTTTTTGTATTTGCTAGGCGTATTCATGCATGTGTGTGTCGGTGCGTTCTTGCCTATGCGGTTTGTATTCTACGAGTCAATTCGGCGAAAAGCCTGCAATCCAGTGAAAGGGAAATATATGGAAGACGGTTAGGAGTCGTCTCCAACAAATAGGCTCCGTGTCCACTCTGGGAGAGCCTGGCTAGCTACCCGTGAGCACACCCAGCTCCCATGTTCAGAGTCCAACAAGCTATACGTGGGTACCTAAACACAGTGAAAAAAAAAGCGGGCCTCATTCCCTTGACACCGAAAGAGCGCCCAATTTCTCAGCCTTGGGTAGGACGAGCGCGGAGAGGATTCTAAAATCTTGGGGCCAATGAAAGCTGTCTTGATTGCAAAGAACTATGGTGACGATCTGTACCTACAATGAACGTACACTTGCATCTGAGTCCTCGGTAGAAGACTTGCTCATGCAAGCAAGAAGGATAAGGTACGACGTCGTCAGCCTGGCCGGGACGAGACGACACCACTCATCATTCAACGCCGTCTATGACACCGGAGAAGAACTGTTCCCTGGAAGATGCGACTGTAGAGGAGTCAGCGGCGTCGGCGTTTTGGTCAACACGAGTTTGTTCATAAACATTGATTCATTCGAATAACAAACAACCCGAATCGGATGTTTACGATTAAAAAAACGTGGATCAATACCAGCTTTCACAACCCTCGTCGTTTACGCGCCGTCATCAAACTGTGACAAAGAAGTCGAAGCGTTCTATATGGACTTGGAGAAGTTCTACAAAGAAGACCACACATTTTTCAAGGTTATCATTCGATAACTCAAAGCCAAGATTGGACCAAGAAAAACGTCTGAAAAACGGATTAGAATGGAACAAACAGGGTGAGCGGTTTTCTGAGTTTACTATGACGACCAAGACTATCCATGGTAGCTCGCGGTTCCAGAAGCACAACTCTCAACGCTGGCGGTGAGAGTCACCCAATAGAGAGTATCATAATGAAGTAGACTAAATCACAACGAAGCGAAAGTTTTGCCTAACCGATGTCGCTGTAGTCCCAAAAATCTACATGGGATGGGACCATCGCCTCTTTCGTGCAAGATTCCATTCCTCGCGAAAATGACAGAAAGCCGCTAAATTCAAAAAACGAAGTCCCAGAGCTACCATAAACTGAGACTTATTCGTTCATTAGTCGGCTGTTCGGAAGATGCCGTCAACGAAAATTACGACTAGCTCATTCAACATCTCCACGTTAGCGCTATGAAAGCTGAGAGTTCCAAAGTCACAAGAGACATCTGCCTCCAGAAATACTCAAGCCGATATACTGGCGTGGAACCTAACGAGCTGCAGGCAGCCGCGAACTAACGTCTGAACTTGCAAAACAATGCATACAGGCGATAAAAGAAAATCTTAAGGACAGAAGAGCAACACCCGCCGAAGCTTCGCCAATTAAAAAACCAAGATGCACTCGACGGCCGGATGGAACAGTTACAACGTCCAGAAAGGCAATGGAAAAAATCACTCACTAAAATTGCTCAAATCTCTTCTATAGCCACGTCCATCTTTTGTCATGTGAAATAAAGGAAGATGGATATGTTGTACTACCGGCTCTCCCTTCCGAAGTCCGACATGCCATTTCGTCGGTGAAAAATCGAACAGCACCAAGTCTGCACAGGATAAGATCAGAACACCTGAAAAACCTTCCGCCAGTCCTCGTATACACACTGGCTCGGCTCTTCACACGTTACCTGTCTGAATGCAAGGTCCCTACTCAGTGGAAGACCAGCAAGACCGTGTTATTGTTCAAGAAAGGTGACCAACACAATATCGGCAACTATCGTCCAATCTGCTATCTGTCGTCTACGAACTTTTCACTCGAGTCATCCTAAACAGGGTTGACAGAACACTGGGCGAAGGACAGCCATGTGAGCAAGCAAGGTTTCGAGAAGGATTTAATACGATGGACCAAATCCACACGACAACAAGACTGACTGAAGTATCGCGAGAGTTCAAAAGACCGCTCTGTTTTACTTTCATCGATTTCAAGAAGGCCTTTGATTTAGTTGAAATAGAAGCAGTCTTGGAAGCGCTTGATGGTCAAGGAGTTCCTACTCAGTACACAAAGATTCTTCGTGAGCTGCACAAAAATTTCGCAACCAAGATACCACCATTCTACAACGGCATTAACGTTGACGTCAGAAGAGGAGTTAGACAAGGCGATACCATATCGCCAAAATTATTTACCGCCGTCCTCTAGAACGTTATGCGAACATTGGAATAGGATAATATGGGAGTGAAAATCGATGGTCTGCAGTTACACCATCTTCGCTTTGCTGATGACATCGTCCCTGTAACACCAAACATTAGCCAAGCGGAACATATGCTTGCCAACTTTGATAGAGCCCGTGGAAAGAGTGGTCTTCGACTAAATCTCACAAAAACGTTGTTCATGAGGAATGGATTGGTTTCGTATGCCCCATTCACGCTCAACGGAACGAATATCACCGAATGCTCCAGATATCTCTATCTAGGTCGAAAAATCAGTATGATGAACGATTTAGCTCCAGAGCTGAGCTGAAGGAAACGAGCGGCTTCTTTCAAGAGCATCGAGGATGTAGTCAAGAAAACAAAGAACACCCGACACCGCGCCCACCTTTTCGACTCAATGATACTCCTTGTCCTAAGGTATGCGTCAGAAACCTCATCGCTGTGTAAGCAGGATGAGAGACCACTCTGCATTAATAAACGCGCAGCCGAAAGGACGATGCTAGGAGTATCGCGTTTCACACAAGTAAGGGAAGGGATCCAAAATTCTGACCTGCGTCAACTATCAGAAATCAAAGATGCCGTTCTGTACGCCAAACAATCGAAGATAAGGTGGGGTGGGCACGTGATGCATATGAATGACAACTGATGGACAAGAGCCGTTAGTGACTGGATTCCTCGGGGTGTTAAGCGCACTGCAAGTAGACTACCGACTCGATGGTCAACAGAGTTTTTCACGAAAAGCGTAGAAGAAAGATACGATGCTCGACGAGTCTCTAGAGCGAGCAGAACGCACTGGGTTATTGGTCGTGCATGCGACTGGGAGAAAAGGAAGATTTGCTGGAGGCCGCTTGAGTCACTAGACGATCAACCAGACTATAGGCGATACTACAGGTAATACTTTGATAACTGGACGCATACTTGGACGGCCATTCCTTACTGGTTGTGCGAGCTCCAGCATATTTTCCTTTTTTCGGAGTGTTCCTGGTTTTGCCATCGAATTTCCCTGGACTTCCGAGGTCAGCCAGACCAAAGTCTCCCCCATTTCGTCACAACCTCAAGCAGTCGTCGCCCTAGTGGATTAGAGTGAGATTCGCCACCATGCGAGTAGTTTTATACTAAGACGATGGTGGATTATGGTATTGGTTTACTCTTAGCTAGGCTTCCTGGTGGGAATGCCAGACTCATCAGCTTGGGAGACCCTGACGTAGGAATGAATCCCCACTGTATATCGCAGCCTGACACCCAGTAACACCTTCTAGCCACGATAAGGTGGTAAACCGCTGGAAAGACATAAGGTTATTGTAAAACATTTATTCGGCTAACGTTTCGACGCCTTTGCCTTTATCCGAGTCGGTGTTCCATAGCCGGTCGCTGTTGCATCGAGTCGAATTACTCGCTGTGGGGCACCTCTCGAATGAAGAAGTGTCCTCATCAGGTGGGCCCTTTTATGAAGGACGATGGTTGTCGATCTATTTCCACCAAATGTGGTTTGCTGACCTACTAACCTTTCGTTCTGTTTTCATGGTAGCAATGCATCCCACGATAAGTCAGCGATATTTTAGCTGTTACCTAGCACAGCAATATTTTTAAAACCGATTTTCTTCTAGCGTCGACATAGACAACCAGTACGTTCTTAGATACAGGGAGTTATCGAAGAAGAGTATTGTTCATCTTGTGTGAAATGCAGAGCTGCTCAATTTTCATCCAGCTTTTGACTGTTATTTAACTCCAGTCGCTGTAATGAATCATTGTTATCGCATGTAGCGCGCATGTAAGAAAAGTGCAGAAATAGGTTCAATTAAGCTGCAAGATACTATTCAAAATGCTGACAACGATATGGTTTGATGGTCAGCTTCTATAGTGTATAGCAAATAATATAACAACATAAATGCGTCGTTTTCTGTTTTAGCAATCGCGAGGTTGTTATATAGGATACGTTGACTTCCGTACAAAAAGCATATATAGCACAAGTAGCTGACGTTTCGGCAGTATCGCCTTCTTCAGAGCCTGGAAGGGCATATTGATACGCAGTTTACTAGGCCAAATGCTTCAGCGGCACACATAGAAAGTTGAAAATCTATATGTCAATCACATGATCAACGGCTTCTCGAAAAACCCACTGCCTTCCAATGAGGAAGAACCGTTGATTAGAGTCATATATGGTTGATGACTACACCACCCACATCAAAAATGGGTGCGAAAGTACGGGGGCTGAATTGGATTGTTGAGTCGAGAGATTGTAGAATCCTACAATGAACAGCGAAGATGAATGCCCAGAGATCACACGTGATACTTTCAAATCAAGTTTTAATGTGGAGTGGTGCACTAATCAACTATATGTGAGTGTGACCAGCTGTTTTTCTTCAGTGTAAAAACAAAGAATCAAAGAATCATGTGTCAATCATGTGAATGCTATATGGATTTTTATCTATTTGTCTGTATTACTGAAGCGTTTGGCGCGCTAAGTTGCACATCAATGTACCCTTCCAGGCTCTGAAGGCGATACCGCCGAAACGTCGGCTACTGTTGTATTGTGCGTGCTTTTGCACAGAAATAAACGTATGCTGTATAATAACCTCTCAATTGCTGGTAAAGAAAATGACGCGTCTATAATCCAATCCCGAAGTTCATAGAAAGTTAATCCTGGGAGGAACCTCGGTAACATATGCTAGCGCTGTAGGGCAAACCTTTTCTGTGGTTCTGTTATGCTCCAAAATATCTCAAAATATCGTCTAGTTAGGCAAGAATTATTGCTTACTGTATGAGAATTAACATCATTCTTATGTGCCGATAGCGAATGGCCAATGACTGGCCCAATTCCGTAGCCGATATGAAATTAGACGTCATTCCACACGGCAGCCAGAAGAAATTGAGTGTCGCGCTTTTTTTGCTAACACTTTTATTGGTATAACCCGCTTTCACGTCTACTGTGCGGACGCTAGCATTTCTCACATTTGATTCGTCTCCTCGCATCCATTGTCCACAAAAATCTTCCTACTTTAACGTGAGGCTTCGGTTGCTGCTTGATTTTCATTTCATCGTGAATGCCGTAGAATGCTGGTTGAGCATTTCTCCCTGGAGTCCTGAGAAGTCGGCATTGAACAGAGTTAAGCTGAGAGACAGGCGAAACGAAGGACTTGCGTGGTGTGGTGGTGAATGCGTTTCTCCCCGGAAAGGACAATGGCGCGTTCGTTCCCCACCGCAGACACCTGCTGTCCAGAGTTTTGCAAATATCTTAGCATTATAGAAGTTGTATTTCACAATGTATACCCTGCCGTTAAAAAGAATAGGCAGTAAATAAAAAAGTTAAGACTATTTTTTTATTATTTGCTCTATTTTGTTCTATTTTATTTGGTCCATCTTCGCGTCTACTGTGCACATCCCAGTACTTCCTACACTCGTTTCGTTTCCTCGCATCCATTGTTCACGAAGGTCTTCCAAATTTACGTGTGGCTTCTGTTATTACTTGACGATTTCCATTTCATCTTGAATGTCGTAGAATGCTGGTCAAGCAATTCTCCCTGAAGTTCTGAGATAGCCGGGCTGGAGCATTCCCAGTTGGATTGCAGAGAGTGATTTTTTTTCAGAGAAGTCCGACACCAATTTCCCGACCCCGAAGAGATAAGAGGCTTGGTTGGCCCCGAGCGGAATCGAACTAGCACCATGCTTGTGATGAAGGACATCGCTACCACTATGCTATCCACCCCCTCATGTTTCCATGAACAACTCAATTACATTGCTATGAGCGTCTAGTATCTTCGCAAAAAACAAACAGCACACTAATCTTCATTTCCATCAACCGGTTGTTAAATAATACATCGAACATCAACAACGTGCTGTCTTTTAATTTTAAAGATTTAATACGCATGATTTGCTACGAATAGCGACTTGCCGACAACACCGCCAGCAGTCGAGCCGCCAGTATACTTTCCAAGTGATGCCGCTGAGTTCGACTGTGCTCGTTGTAGTAGAATGGCCTGAATAGAGATATCTCTTCATTTTATCGAGGATATGAAAGTAATTCAGAGCCACACTGACTATAAATAACTCCGCCATCGACAACTGATTTTTTGGTGGAAATTTTCTTTACGTTATATCTGTTCGTTATTCTTACCTGGGCGTCTTTGACATTTTCGGATTTTCCTCCCCACTTCGCGAGACACGACGCTTGCAGGGCTCGACCGTATGAAAATGTCAGCACCCACGGTTTCTTACCTGGGACCTTAATGATGCGTAGACCTAATTTTTCCATTTAACCTTTCAAACAATGCCGTTAAGAGCACGGAAACCTTATTTATTGCATTTAGATTCAGAGTGGCCTCTTCTTCCGACTGACCGCCTGAGAGGAATACAACACCGGGAACAGCGGCCGGTACGGATCTTTGTAGAGCAGTGACAGTAGCGAATCCAACTTCTTCGGGTGTCGGTTTACCTCCAGTGAAACCCTGACCTGCATCAAATGTGTATTAGTCGATAGCTTATTGCCTAATTGGAATGTTCACTAGCTTGGACTGACCAGCAGTCACCATATTTGGTTTCAGTAGTGTTCCCTCAAGAAAAACATGGTTTTCATTGAGCGCTCTAAAATACTACCATCAAGGTCACCTAAAAACACCTAAGATGCTTTACAAATTTTCGTAGTCTTACCTGTAGCAATATGAGAGTACCAACTCAGTGATTTTTTGACATTTAGCGATGTCGTGATTACCATCAGGTAAAATCTCCGGTTCTACAATAGGTACCAGTCCGTTTTGCTGACAAATAGAAGCGTAGCGAGCAAGCACCTTAAAGGAATAATGCAATAAATTCCTAGAAAGAATTTATCTATAGAAAATCACCTGAGCGATCTCGACTAACGCCATAGAAGAAGGTGTTACGTTGGAGATTTTGTGAACGCAGCGCCATTTGGCAAATTGAGCACCGTCCTGGAAGAAAGATCTCAATTGTTATTGGAATTTCGATTTCTTCAGTATGATACGAAGAGGTGAGTGTTGGAAATTGCGTGATGTCGTAGGATTTGCCTTCTTGTATCTCGCGCAACGGTTGTTAAGATCATCCATTCCTTGTGTGCTGACTTCTCCAACGGTACCCCCCATAGGTACTGTACCTTTGTCAACCTAAATTCGTCTTCGTTGAGATCACTGTATAGCTGAACCAAATTTTCGTGAATTCACATATATATATGTATATATATATATATATGTATATATACACATAATTTCACGTAAACCGTCATCACACCTACTGACCCTGGTCTTGTAGTTTAATTCACACTTAAACTGTGTTGCCTTTGTGGCTAAACTTCGCAAGGCAACTTCTAACTACCCATGCATAGACATCTCCACATACAACTACAAGGATTCATATATTTTAACACAATTTTTTTCAAAAGGGTCGATCAGAGTTGCATGTCAAAACTGTTCTTTTGAGAAAAAAACCTGCCTTTATTCCAGGAATGATGTTCTGCTTCTTCAGCACATCAACAAAGGGCACACCATCGTCAGCTTTTTGATAGAACGTTTCGTCGAACATAATCACACCAGAAATATATTTTCCGAGATCAGGATTCCCAGTGAATAGTAACTGAAAACGTGTTGTTTAAAAATGTTTCAAGGTGTTCTTTTGGATGAATCTTACCTGTCTATACCTGCGGCGATTTTCCTCAGTATTTTCTAATCCAATACTTTTCAACCGTTTTTCCATACTACCAATGGATTCATCGGCGGCTGAAATCGTCCGACTAATAGTAAAAGGATCAAGAAAAAAGATAAAGCGTTTGGCGTTGAAATATCCCCGAGCGATGAGCCGCACATTCGACTCTATCAAGCATCGTAGAGGTGGTGGAATGCATGTCTGGCCTAATGACCTCGGTAGTGCTACCCTCCCAGACCTGTGTAGTATCGATCGAGCCAGGAAACGAACCAATGTGTTGTTTTAGGATACCCTTAACCACTGCGCTACACGTTCTCTGTACTGACGATATTCTTAAAAATTACTACATCAGTACGAACTTACCTAGAATTCCTTTTCCAGGAGCAATGATTGCTTGTGCAATGGATCGCAGTTCATCTTCCTTCTCCTTAGTGAGGAACTGCGAGTATGACGCCATACACAGGCACTGACAACTGAAAATGAAAGTTTATTGAACTGTGTGGATCCACTGCGAAATATCATCATGCCTTATCTGTTTGTAATATCACTGAGATCCAAATGCATGCTTCCATTTTCTAACGTAGCCTAAACAGGCGGTTATCATAACGCAAAGTTTAGTTCGGAGTTCTGACCTCTCGATTCAAAGTCTCACAAAATGTCAAGTGTTCCGAGCATGATATCTGTTGCGGGCTATAAGGAATGATTTCCCGACCCAGATAGATATTTATCTATCATCTTCATCACGTCTTCGCTTTGATCGTCGAGTGACTCCAGCGGGCGCCAGTAAATCTTCCATTTTTTCCTGTCACGTGTAAGACTAGTCCATTGGGTTCTGCTCGCTCTATGGACTCGTTGAGCATCATACTATTCCTCTAGGTTCCTCGTGAAGAACCCTGACCAAAGAGTCGGCGGTCTTCCAGCAGTCCGCTTGATATCCCGATAAATTCACACACTTGTCGTTCATACACATTACGTCTCCAGCCTATCTTAACCTCGACACTTTGCCGTACAGAACGGCAGAACGACTGTGCGTTCAATAACGCAAAGTGATCTTTCATTCTGCTTATGTTGAAAACAGTCCTTTGTCGTGTATGCTAACGCAGATAGAATCCCAGAGTCGAAGATATGGCCATGGAATCTGGTACCTTTGTACCTCACTACATCCTTGATGATTTTGAAAGCTGTCCAACCCGCGCGCTTCTTACTTTTCAGTTCTGTAGCTAATTCGTTCATCATATTGATTTCCCGACCCAGATAGACATAACTGGAGCATTCGGAGATATTCGTTCCGTTGAGCGAGAATGGGGCATGCGAAGCCATTTTTCCACAGGCTTCATCAAAGTCGTCAAGCATACGTTCCGCTTGGTTAACGTTTGGTGTTATAAGGACGACGTCATCAGCAAAGCGAAGATGGTGTAACTGCCGATCATCGATTTTCACTCTCACGTTTTCCCATTACAGTGCTTCGATTACATTCCCGAGTGTAGCGGTAAATAATTTTGACAAGATGGTATCGCCTTATCTAACGCCTCTTTTAACCTCGATGTTAGTAACACTGTGGAATGATGATATTTTGATTTTTAAAGTATTTCGATAAGCAGACACGAGGTTGTTATTATAGGATTTATTAGGATACAATAGCTGACGTCTCGGCGGTTTCGCCTCCTTCGGAGCCTGGAAAGGTCAAATTGAGATGCGAACTACCCAGTCAAAAACTTTCATAACCCCAGCAGATAAAACTTAACAAATAAATCTGTACTCGCATAAGAAACAGCTTTATTTAAAAACCTACCGTTTATTTGTTGCAAGTATTTAAGTTAGTTGATGGATAGCAGCCGCACAGAATAATAGATGCGCGAGGGCTCTGCCTGTGTCAGGTGATTGCATTAGCCTGTGGTATGGCGAGAGGTCACGCGTGATAACAGAACACTCCTCGTTGCGGTTCCTTTCGTATTTTTAAAATTAACCATTTGAATCTTTGTACAGCTTACAAAGAATCTTCATGCACTGAGTAGGGACTCCATGATTGTAACCGGCTTATACGTCTGCATCTATCTCACTTGAGATAAAGGCCTTCTTTAAATCCATGAAAGTGAGGCAGAGCGGTTTTTTCTACACTTTATAGAGAACAAGATTCAAACACAACGATGCTGAATTATTTGCGAAACTCCGGACCGCTGGGGTCTGTGGAGGAGAACGAACGCGCTGTTGTCCTTACCGGGATGTAAATGATCCACTGTGCGCATTTCGAGACCGTTTGCAAGTGTCTTCGGAAATGTCCTCAATAAGCTGAGAAACTCCTCGATGATCCACTGTGAGCATTTTGAGATCGTTTGCAAGTGTCTTCCGAAATGTCCTCAATAAGCTGAGAAACTCTTCGATGGTCCACTGTGAGCATTTTGAGATCGTTTGCAAGTGTCTTCCGAAATGTCCTCAATAAGCTGAGAAACTCCTCGATGATCCACTGTGAGCATTTTGAGGTCGTTTGCAAGTGTCTTCCGAAATGTCCTCAATAAGCTGAGAAACTCCTCGATGATCCACTGTGAGCATTTTGAGATCGTTTGCAAGTGTCTTCCGAAATGTCCTCAATAAGCTGAGAAACTCCTCGATGATCCACTGTGGGCATTTTGAGGTCGTTTGCAAGTGTCTTCCGAAATGTCCTCAATAAGCTGAGAAACTCCTCGATGATCCACTGTGAGCGTTTTGAGATCGTTTGCAAGTGTCTTCCGACATGTCCTTAATAAGCTGAGAAACTCCTCGATGGTCCACTGTGAGCATTTTGAGATCGTTTGCAAGTGTCTTCCGACATGTCCTTAATAAGCTGAGAAACTCCTCGATGATCCACTGTGAGCATTTTGAGGCAAGTCTCTTCGGAAATGTGCTTAAAAAGTTGAGGAACTCCTCGATGTTCTACTGTGCGCCTTAACCAGGCTGCAAAAACATAACAATTTTACTGCCTACTTAGAACATGACAGGCTTTCTTCAAACTGTGTAAAAGTCCAAATTGGCACGCAATCTACTCAGTCAAATACTTTAACAAGCTTAGCAGGAAAAGCTCAATAACTAAATTTCAATCGTATTGGTAGCACCTTTTAAATAAACACTCGCCGTCTTCCTCTTTTCATCTTTCATCTCTTCCAGTTTTTGTTGGTCACCATCTACACAGAGTATTACACTGCTAAGTTCCGGTCAACAAATCAGAACGCGGCATGAGAGACACGCGAGATCAGAAAGGCACTGATCACTGCGGTTTTACTCTTGGATTTCTAGAATTTATCCAAAATTCCTTGATCAAAAGTCTGAAATGTCAGTGGGCAAAACTTTCCAAGCGTTTTCTGCTAATTCCACAAATCCAAAAATGAACCGCAGGAATAAACGCCTTACCATCACGCGTGGTCTCACGTAATAACTCAGACTGTACTTCTAACTTGGGAGAAACATATTGCCTATCCCTCTCAGTTTTCTGCGGTCATTCGTAAAACAGACATTCTATTAACTTCGGCGTTGTTAAAGTAATTCAGTGTTTTCTCGACGAGCAAACGTGAGGTTGGTCCTTTAATCCTTTTCCGCAAAATGCTAACATATCGCCGGATATCGCCTTCTTCAGAGTTTCGAAGGGTTAAGATATTCACAATCTAGTCAACCAAACACCTCCACAACATCAACGGAAAAAGCCACAACACCTAATTTTCAGTCGCATTAGATATAAAGCAGCTTCTTCGCACAGTTGCTGGGCTCTATAAATCTTCCACTGAGTATCGCACCTGGAGACGTACCGTGCAGAGCTTACATGGAAGGATAATGAGCTACTCTCGCTTTAAAATATCAGTAGAGACGTTGTGTGAGATCTCACGTGATAATGAAGTATACCACCGTGTGGTTAGTCGCCATCATTAAGTATCACAGACAACGGTAAGTGTTTGAAGAAGTTGCTTCCAATACGGTTGAAATTTAGGTGCCGGTTTTTTTCCATTAAAGTTTTAGGATAATTTGGCTGATTTGGCTGCATATCAGCTTGACCGCTCCAGGCTCTGAAAACGACGGAATGCTCCGGAACTTTAGCTCTCGTGAGCTAAACACTCCAGTGAAAACCTCGTTTCTGCTCATTTCACATTAGATCAAAACACAGGATGGTTGTCGACCGAGTGAGGGAAAAAATACGTTCAGAACCCTCATAAAGTTTGGCTTCTTCTGCATTCACATCTATCAAAAATATTGCTGAAACCATGGTAAATACTTTATCGTCATTTATCGATAAGCATAAAAATGAACATCCTTTTCTGTCCGCCATAAAACAGTCTTAAAGATTCCACACACAGCACTGGAAATTAAAAAATTTCAACTAGAAGAAACACAGGGATTTCAGAACAGATGGATTTCTAACAAGACCAAAATTCTACTAAACACTCCTCGATACTCACTCTTGCTAACGTTTCATGGTTTCTACACAAAACATCTACGTCTAGTAAGTAATTCAAGAAGAGCACATACACCTTACCAAGTCTGTTGAGCGCGACTTATATGGATAACAAGTCAGCATGACTCGATAGCTGTTATCACAAAAGAACGATGTTCTAGAGAATTTGCTGACGTACTAACACAATATCATATTGACACTATGCTATGGCTAATCATAGATTGGAGAATAATCTTTCTTTCAAACTACAACACTGGTTTGTGAGAGTTACGAATCTTTGGAATAAACAAACAGCACAACAATCTTCATTTTCACTAATAAATACTATGCTATCCACTAATTTATCAAACGTCGAGAATGTGCTCTATTTGATGATGAATAGGTAATTTTTGTGACGATCATCAGTAAGCGTGATTGGCGACGAACAGCGACTGGCTAGCTGCGGCGTCCGCATTCGCATCACCACTGTACTTGCCCAACGATGCCAATGAATTTGCCTGTGCTCGAACGAAAAACACATCCTGGAAACAGCTATCATTCTGATAAGAACTCAGTGTGATCCGAAGATTAAGAAGTCTAACTGATAAGCCAAAGAAGGTCACTACACACCTTTTCTTTTACTTTCTTAACACTCATAAAAACCCTAATACCTCACAAGGAGAATAATTTTCTATCGATATTTCATTGCTTACTTATGCGATAACAATGTTCTCAATCAAAAGAGTTTATACTTTGTTGACATACCTGAGCAGCTTTGACGTTCTCATCCTTTCCTGCCCATTTCGCAAGACACGACGCTTGCAGAGCACGACCGTACGAGAATGTGAGAGCCCACGGCTTCTTTCCAACTACCTTAACCATACATCTATCTAGTTATCTGTTTATCTAATTTTCCATTTTTTTACAGCCCACTCCTACTATAGAACTCCTTACTTTATTAATAGCATTCAGATTACGACTGGCATCTTCTTCTGATTGTCCACCTGAAAGGAACACAACACCTGGAACAGCAGGAGGTACAGAGCGCTGCAACGCGGTTACGGTGGCGAGTGCGATATCATCCGAAGAAGGCATGGGTCCTTTAAAACCTTGACCTGGAACAAAATATCCAATTTGTTCAATTTTATATTAAATTAATTTGTCGTTTCGTAGGATTACTTACCGGCTGTTACCATGTTCGGTTTCAGTAGAGTTCCTTCAAGAAACACGTGATGCTCATTAAGCGCCCTAAATTACGCCATGAATTGGCAACATTAGATGAGATCTTTTAAATTCTTTTGAAAAATGCTACCTGTAACAATACGATAAAACAGTCTCGGTAATTTTTTGGCATCTAGCCAGATCATGTTCACCATCAGGCAGTATTTCCGGTTCGACGATTGGTACCAGTCCATTTTGTTGGCAGATGGAAGCGTAGCGAGCGAGAACCTCGAGAGAAAAAGAAGAATTACCAAATGTCTAGAAGCTTCCTTATTCCTACCTGTGCGATCTCCACAAGCGCTGTGTGGGAAGGAGTGACGGCGGAAATCTTGTGAACGCAGCGCCATTTGGCGAATTGAGCGCCATTCTGAAGGAAACTTGAGGAGAAATTAACCAATAAAGCACAATTTTCTGTCTCTCCGAGTTTCGATGCTACTGTGTCTTCATATCGAAGCTAACATTACGGGCTATTAGATTACTCCATTGCCGATGCCCCAGTACCATCACAACACTCGGTCTTTATTCTCCGTCACACATCCATAGTCACAACTACTGGAAATTTACCGGTAGCTAGATTTTGTGACACTACCAATTGTTCATCAGCTGTTATTTCGACAAAAAAATGAAGCAAAGATCCTTAGAACACTCACCTTTTTGTAGTTTGCGCATCGATTATTAAGATCATCCATTCCTTGTGTTGTGCATTCTCCTACTGTACCTGCCATCGGGACAATTCCCTTGTCGACCTTGGCAACAAAATTTATTCTTCTAAGTTAATATACCGTAAAAACGATTTTAAAAAAGAGAATTGTTAACAAGTGATCATTGTCTTCTAATTTTCAGTGTTTTCCAACACAGTTCGCATTCTCAACTAGGACATATAAAGTGTAAATCCCTAGACTCAAAACCTCTATTTCAGTGGTTCCTAACGGTGGCATAACCCTAAATACTAAACCCAACAAGCATCACTACTGACCAGGACCTCACACAATCGATGAATAATTTATAAAACGTTCTTGTGTCAAGCTATTTAGCTCGAATTTAAGGGAGTACTGTCAAGAATAAGACCAGTCACCACCATAACCTTAGGTATTGCAGAGGATTACTTCACAAAGTGTTAAGAAGTTTGTGATGACGACGCAGCCGTATAGCAACAAGAAGCGATTCATCATCACCCATATGCAATTCATAGAATCGAACCCATAAGTTCTAACTATTCTCATTCGAATGTTTGCCTTACAAAAAAACACCTTTATTCCAGGGATGATGTTTTGTTTCTTGAGCACATCAACGAAAAGAACGCCGTCGTCCGTTTTCTGATAGAATGTCTCATCGAACATGATCACACCAGAAATATGCTTATTTAGATTTGGGTTAGCAGTAAATAGTAGCTGAAAAACAAATACATCAATACACTGCCGGTATATTTCTAAGAAAATCGAGATTACCTGTCTGTATTTTCGACGATTTTCTTCAGTATTCGGAAGCCCGATACTTGCCATCTTTTTTTCCATACTACCAGTAGATTCATCGGCAGCTATACAGAGATGATTAGAGAATACAAGATAGTAGTGATCTTAATCAAACGAACCTAAGATACCCTTTCCTGGAGCCACAATAGCGTTGGCGATTGAGCGAAGTTCGTCTTCTTTTTCCTTGGTGAGATACTGTGAGTAGGACGCCATTCTTAAAAGACGGTTATGATTATGAAAAATGTCGTTTTATCAGTACGGTACATTTTTTGACTCTAAGGACGTGCGCTCAAGTCAGCTCTTGTAATTGAGAAATAGGGAAGCTTTCGGAAATCGGCTGACTATGGTTTAATATAATAGGTTTTCGAGGATCTGGCAAGTTCACAACGGAAGAAGCGCTTAAGAGGTAAGTGGAAGAAGTACTTGAGAGGTAAGCGAAAGGAAGATTCGACTAAGAAGCATAGTCTTCCGAGATTACGTAATAAGAAAGTTCTCTGCTCTTTGAAAGAAATTTCAGAACCATCTAAAAACTTCTGATATCACGAGGACAAAAAATGGAGTTGGACTACATGCAAGTAGAATAGTTCGTCAAAGACTTTTGACTTGAAACATTTAAAGCAGCACCAGATCTGCTTCTTTCTGTAATAAAAAATGAATAGAGGAGAAAGTTTCAAGAAACAGAACTACGAAGAAAATAGATGGGGAGGAAGAGAAAGAAGGAAGGTAGACAAGAGTGGAATCCATCGGCGGAAGACGAAAATAGATCGAAAACTGTCATACTATAATATGGCAGTAATCATAATCATCATCCTCATCATCGTAGTGTAAAAATGTGAAGATGTTAAATGATAATGAATCTATAAAAACTTTCAATCATTGAGGAATCAATCTAATCACTGGAGAACATCCTCGACTTTTGCTTAAGTGTTTTCTGGCGATGGCACCAATGCAGGCGCTGGTAAACACCAACCATAGCTACGAAACATTTGTAAGGAACGATGGAAGTTCATAGAAACAACTAGACGCTCCGAAGAAAATGTTTCCAGTTGTTTCCAATCCTCTCTCTTGCTTCTCTTCTCACAGAAATGACGCATGCTGCATCTACTTTCAGATCGTAAGGAAACTTTCAGGGACGAACAGGAAGAAAGATGAATGGGAAAAGAAGGAGGCCGGCTAGAGAGAATGATGATGCAATTGTGAAGTGGTTGAGGGGATCTTGTGCGTAACGCCCTGCGTTCGTTTCACAACAGCTGACGACAATATCTTCTCGAGTTTCTAAGGATTTAGGAACTTCAAGACGGACTTATGGAAGAGATTTTGCACTGTCGCACTAATCCTAGATAAAATGTTTCAAAGCAGTATTAAAACTGTTAAAATTGACAATCTTTGAAATCAAAAACCTCAAAAATATGGAAAGGAATTTTGTTTATTTATTTGTCTATTTTATTTTGCTTATTTTTATTTATTGATATGGAAAGGAATATTTAATCTAAGGAAAAACATGGAAAGGTGTGGTCCGGACTACGATGGTGAGCAAAGTAACACCCATCACTACTAAAAGGATGTGTTAGCTAAACAGTGTGATCCCCAAAAGATCTCAACCTGAGCCGGTATCGGCCAAGGTTGCTCTACCCCTCCATCCAAAGAGAGATAGGGTGGAAAGAAATGTTAACTTTTTGAAGTTCCCAAGCAAGCGCAACAGTCGTGGACATGAACGACGCATACGGGAACAGCAGCATGTCCTACTGGATGAGATCCCACCTATTCACCTAATCTCGAGTATGAGATACGAACTTTGAGACAAAAGGAAGAAAAGACACGTTTCATGAACTGCAGGAGATCGAGATTTCATTTTGACAAGAGAATACATTACGATGAAGAAGAACTGTAGATTCTCATGGTTTTATACAAATTAATAAAGTTTATCATGAGCTGAAATGTGCTAGAAGGAACCTGAAAACGATTATTACTTTCGCACCAAATGCATTATACACAATGCATGTTGTGCGTTATGTGCAAATGCAGTGTTCAACGTCGACCTACAAATGATGCCTGTCAGGATACAGTATCACAGCCTTCTTAGTTAGGAAACATAGTTAGCACTTCTTAGTTTCTTTGGTTAAAAATTTCACCCACAAAGACCATTAATGTAAAAAATTGAACATGTGGTGAAACAAGGCATCAGCAATTACCGTTTTATCTAACAGTGTTCAAGTTCCTCTTTGGAAGGCAAAAACTGTCGTTTAGCAACCGCACCTTTGCTGAAGATCATTCCGATGTCGTAGTGCAAAGCACCTATCGTATTCATCAAATATGTTGGCGGTGTCCGTGTCATCTTCGATGTTGATGGCGGTCGTACAGTCTTCGTCCACTATAGCATTGATGGCGTTCGTAAGTGGATCCACCAATGATGCATGGCCAGGAAGGTCAAGAATCAGACACCTGGTTGGATAGTTACTATTGTTGACGTTTACAGTGATGATAAATGCCAGCTGTGAATTCTTAAGGTTATGGCTGCCGGTAAGCCATTGACGTAAACTCCGCTCGTTGTATGCAGTTACTGGTCTCGCATATACATAGATTTTTGGTAGTGATCTCTTGGCACAATTTGCAAGCTCGGTGCTGTTGATTGCCACACCGACAATAACGAATCGCCTTGAGTCAACGACAAGCTTTTCTGCTTCGATCTGAATAATTCTCGGTGGTTCACATACCATCTTGAGAACAATGTCGTCACTGGTACTATTGCGAATGACCAGACTTTTCGGCGGTGACGGTGTATCGGTGGCGCATGATGGAACCACCATGTTCATCGCCAGCACCATTGTATGAATGGCAAATGAGTGCAGCCGGCTTCGTGATCAGATGAGACGGTATGATGGTAAATGAACCACCCACTTGCCGACAGCTTTCCAAATTCCTGTTGATAAAAACGGTGAGTTGTTTTGTCGGTGAAATCGAACCAATTTGAGCGATAAGATAAATGGGAAAACAAGAGAGAGAATGCTGGTTGGAATCGGTTGAATAACCTTCATTATTCGCAAGTTAGAAAGCCAAAACATATTAATGGCTCGAAAGACCGACTTTCTATGAACCTCGGCATAAATAGTTGATATATTTATCTATGTGATCTTATAAACTGATCTTCTTAAGCTGACGCGAGGTTGGTACAGATCCTCGTTGTCGTTGTTTTTGATGTTATTGAACGATGGCTGACGTTTCGGCGACTTCGCCTTCCTCAGAGCCGTGATGTTATGTGCGGGACCCGCAGTCGGCGAAGTCGCCGAAACGTCAGCCATCGTTTAATAACATCAAAAACAACGACAACGAGGATCTGTACCAAACTCGCGTCAGCTTAAGAAGATCAGCTTATAAGATCACATAAATAAATATATTAATGGCTGCTGAAAATCGACAGACGGTATTGGTCAAATTAGGGCGCGTGTGACGCAGTGGTCGGATGCGACGTATAACACACGTGGAATCGATCCTCACGCCCATTGTCCACCAAGCCTTCCATGCCTCCGGGCTCGGCAAATTTATACGAGACTTGTCTGGGAGGATAGCAGCAGTGGCTCGATACATCGGTAGGCCACCGAGAGTCATTATAAAGGCCAGATGTGCATTCGATCACCTCCAAACGGTGCTTAATGAAGTCGAATACATGGCGCATCCCTCAGGAACTGATCAACGCCGAGAGGTTTGTCTTTTTTTTACTCCTCTATTAATACTTAAACTTGAAGTAAGCATTTGTGAGAAGACCCATCAACGTAGAGAACTACATAGTACGGTTGAGTTCTCGATCCAGCACAAAACAACTTACCAAACTGTTGATTATCACGATTTGCCAACTTCTCAAACGACTAAGAAGTTCCAAAACGAGAAGGGTCATTCAAGGTCATTCCGTCCTTTTGCCCAAAAGGCATCCTCTACATTTCTCACGACGTCGACAACAAGAGGCGAATAGATTTCACTACATACTCTGTCCAAGCTCCCGATTTTTCCACACTTTATACGCTACCGAAGCGTTGTTATCGCGAGAACGAATCCTTTCTGACTACTTCCCACAAGAGTTATTCTAAATCTGGACTCACATAACTTCTGACGGAAATAAACCAGCCTTTCATAACAACTTAAGTTATTTATAGAACTAAAACAAGGTAGAACAACATCGTTATCAAGTTGAAATCCCAGAGACCGGCACGTGAATGGTACGGAACGGAACGGCATTTAGAATGCCGCATTGAATAGATGTCAAATAGGAAGGCGGATCATCACCAAGGTACATTCTGCCGACATACGGCGAATGAGAACAAAAGAAAATTAGGAAAACAGTACACAACATTCTGTGCTCATGGCGATATTGAACGCTCTAAGCTGAGCAATGCACCCCGAGGAGCTGAGGGAGAACGCGCCGCGACCGCCTGGCCCGCTCTTCGATCGACATCGTCCGGCACATCCAGGCACCGCTTCGCAGGAACGAGTGAGCGAACCCACCCAGCCATTGATCAACGGCGCTCGTTCAGTGTGCACTTTTATTTTTTTTTATTTTACATAACTCGTCAGCACATCTGCTGTCCGGATCCCAGCACTTCTTACACTCGATTCGTTTTCCTCGCACTTGTCATCCACAATGGCCTTCGAGCATTCCGCGTGCCTTTTCGGCTGTTGCTTGAAGATTTCGTCTTCTTTATGAATGTCACAGAATGCTGGTCGAGTCGTTAGCTGGGCTAAGGCGTTTTTGCGTGGACTGGAGGAGAACGTTGGGTAAGTGGTCGAATCAGAACTTTGCTCCCTGATGGACCGCGTCACCAACCACTGCGCCGCACCTACCTCTTAGTGTAAATCAGTGCCATGTACGTATATCATTAAATATTCACTGGCTTGTAACTGTTGCGATGAGTATCTTAACATGTAGAGTTGTGCTGGAAATTGTATTAGCAGATGGTAAGGTTTGGATGATTTCGAGAAAAACAAGTCTTTTGGTGGATAAAGTTGACTAGAAGAGCTCTATACAAGTCTACCGAGTTGTCGCTGCTTTATGAAATTACAGTTTACTTGTTTAATTTGTTATAAAAAGAATGAAAAGGACAAAGCTCTCGGAGTTGATCAATCCCCGAGGGATGCACCATGCATTCGACTTCATTAAGTATCGTTGGAGGCGATTGAATGCATATCAGGCCTTCACAATGACTCGCGGTGGCCTTCCGATGTATCGAGTCAGTGCTGCTATCCTCCCAGTGCTCCCTGATGTCTGGTACCAGTTTGCCCACCCTGGAAGGATGGAAGGCTTGGTGGGCCATGAGCTCGGGGATCGATTCGACGGCTGTTCCAACCACTGCGCCACACGCCCCCTTAACAATAAACTGACGAGATTCCTTAATTTTTATCTTTCACTCTTGTGTAGATCACATTTCACACTTAAGTTTTCTCTAGGCTGTTTTATCTCATCTTAACAGTTTTCAAGCATGCAAATTAATTGTTGTAATAATAATTATTTTACAACCACCTTTTGTCAGTGCTCGACGATGTAGACGAATCAACAAGCCGACGGAAGAAGATCACCAATAAAAATGAACAGACTCAGTTTTTACTTTCCACACCAAACAGCATCAACAAAATGAATGGACTAAGTTCTTGTTTTGCGTACCGAATTATCACATGAGATTCTAACGAACCAGAATGATATCCTGAGCTACACCTAAGTCAGAAGCACCAAAATGATAAGTTAATTCAAAATAACTGGGATGGACGTTAGAGCCCAGAGTTGCCTAGCCCAGAAGACGATATGGGTACTATGGTGTTCATTTTTAGTTATGTTCGTTCCAAAATTTTTCTACCACACTATTCATATTCTTTCGATAGAAACGAATCGAAACGAAGCGAGTGAAACCATTCTCTGCACTTAACAGTTTACAAAATGCGCCCATTTGGAAGAGTTCAATCTTCGGCGTTACGCCCTAAAATACGACACCTCGAAAAAAAAAACATCAGAGCCGATGCGTCTTCTCGCGTAAGCTCAACAACAAAGAAGTTGTCTTGCTATTTGCTGTGTGCTAGCTAACATAATACCGACTGGCGACTGCTGCAGGGCGGATTATCCGTCGGAAAGAAATTGTTATCAATTATTTATTTACTTATTTACTTACTTGGTACTTGAACGGCCCGTCCTCACTGGTTGAGCGGGCCCCAGCATAATCACCATTTTTAGGAGATTTGCTGGTTAGCCATTGTGGTTCCCCGGAATCCCGAGGTTAGCCTGCCTAAAGTCTGCCCCAGGTCTTCACCACCACGGGCAGTCGCAGCCCTTGTGGATAAGAGGGAGATTTGCTACCATGCGACTTTGGTACCACAACAGTGGCGGATCTTGGTATTGGTTTACTCCTAGCTAGGCTTCCAGATAGAAACGCCGGACTCCTCAGCTTGAGAGACCCTGCCGGGGAGACAAATCCCTCTGCTGTATATCGCAGTTCGACACCCAGGAACACCACCCAACCACGATGAGGCGGTAAACCGTTAGGAGGTATCAACGGATAGTCTTATCAATAACAACCGCTCTGTACAAAAGGACATTTCCGTGTCCTGCCAGGACGGTGTGCATAGCTCATTCGTACGGTGTTTATTGAAGAAGATCCGTCTCGGTGCGACTACGTAGATACCAGATCGAGGACACGAACAACTGTGGACCACCGAGATGGGTTATCGGCCCTGTTGAAGACGAAGACGTCGAAACGCTAGCCAAAGTAAATATGTTTACCAACCTCGTGTTAACTCAACAATTTAAAAACATGTTGATTATATTTATTTATACGATCTTATGAACTGAACTTGTTGACCCGATGCGAGATAGGTTTTTGTTGTTGTTGTTGTTGTCCCACTCTTACAGTCCCACTCATAACTGCACGCCTCTGAGGAAGGCGAATTCGGCGAGACGTCAGCCATGGACCAAAAACACCAACAACACCAACACCAACACCAACAACAACAACACGACAAACGACAAACAACAAACAAACAACAACAATGACCTATACCAAACTTGCATCGGCTCGACAAGATCGGTTCATAGGAACTTATAACTAAACATATCAACCATTTATGCCGAGGTTCATAGAAAGTGGGTTTTTGAGTTATTAAGACATGTTGATTATTTTGCTACTGAAGTTAAATGAAGGTCGGTTTAAAAAAGTACTAATTACTTCATTTAAATGCTAACAACAATGATATATTTGAACATAAAATCATGAATTAGCATCCGGGCTATTTCTTGCTGCATTGCAGTGGATAGTGAAATCGAAACGAGTGCAACCGTCACCGCTCATCAACTAAGGAGTAGAGTCGTCTGATATGTGGACACTAGCTGACTGTTATAGGCACTTCACACGAATAGCAGCTCAGGAAGCAGCAGCTGCAGCTTTTTATCTGCCCTCATCAGCAAATGAACAGGACGAAGATCCAGTTTAGGAAGAACCCCTCGTGCAAAGTGGAATATATCGAAGGAGATTGCTCTCTGATCACGAGGAACACTTGCTACGTGGGCCTTGGATGATCAATAAACATGGAGAACAACGTGAAAAAGGAATTAGACAGAAGAAGAAGAGCAGCGTGGGAGCGTTCAGGTCACTGAAGGAAGCTATTGACCAACTAATGGACCCGAAAATCCACGCTTACCTTTTCGATTCAACAATCTTCCTAGCGCTATGTTATGCAGCAGATAAGTGGGCTGGTACTTCGACCAGGTCAAGAAAATTACTCATCACTCACAGAGGGCTTGAACGATACCTGCTGAAGTTAAACCGCTGCTCAGAAAGTTTTGGCAGAATGTGCAGCTCCCATCTTCGCAATCGATCGCATCTTCAGGGTCCAGGAGAACATAAATCTGTAGCGAAACACATGTCCCGGTCATACAGTGAGACGAACCGATGACAGATGAAGAAAAGAACAGTGAAGTAGACTCCAGCAGGATGAAAGCGTCTTCTTCGAAGACATAGAAACGATGGGTGGACGTGTTCGTGGATGACGTCGACCACCTACATTCACAGATGGAAACCCTTTTAAGAAATCGAAATGGGCCTCGCAGACGTTAGCATGTTCGAGGCATACCAATTTTATTGACCAAGTTTGCGCGATAGAGAAAGAAGTGGAAATCGTGATAGGGACCCGTACCACCAGTGAAAACGAGCCATCCAAGTATCCAACCAAGTAACTAACTACTATCTGTAATTCCTTGCGACGCAAACGCTAGAATGGATTTAGATGCTAAGATTTGCCTATGTATTTAACTTCTAGCTGCTATCGC